GGCTGTCACAGCGGTATGGTAACGTTGACGGTACAGAATAAAAGCTATGAGAAGGACTCCATAGTTAGTCGATGATCCTCAGCAATTCTTCCCCCAACGATATCACCACAAAGACGATGTCTCTTACACCCGGGACATCGTCAATACAGTCTGTTTTAGATGGAAATCAGCCAGCAGGTTGCCAGGTACAACGTACCATTTCGCGGCCTAGGTATTTTGGCCTCTGGCGGACAGATACAAATAATGTCCCGAATACTGTCAGCTTGCATTGGGGTAGTCGAGGTACCGAGTCTTGGCTGGCTTTCCACGCTGCGACTCGTCTCAGGCGTGCCTAGGGACGCAGGTGGCGGCCTCGTGGTATACTCTCTCCGAGGGCTCAGAGGGCGCAAGAGAGATGGAGCATTGGGATCACCTCTTTGAGATATCATGTCCCTGAAAACATGGATCGGCGGCATACTGCGCCGGTGCTCTTGAGACGGCATAATATGGGCCATGCTGGAAGAAAGAGATTGGACGAGAGATATACTGGCCGCAATATTTGAAGTCGAGTGACCATTCCCCTGGCTCAGGAGCCACAAATCTCAGTTTAAGCTTGAGCTGGACTGACTGTTTTCCGACAAGAATAGAACAGCAAACAAACATGCCGCAGGGCCGAGACCCGGGGGAGCTCTAGCAGGGAAGGAATCCCACGAACAAAGGCGTGGACCACAAAGCGACTTTCGCGTGGTTGGGAAGTTGGAAGGGATTTGAGATTCAAAAGAAGGGAGAGAAAGTGTGATGGAGGAGAGTTGTGTAAAAAGCGGGAAGGCTGCGTATGCAAAGACATACCCATTCACTTCACAATAGCGGCTGTTCCTTCGGCCTACAACGATACTGCTTTTGCTTTGGGGCCCATCTGATGAGTGGACACCACCCTGCTTCCGATGTCTCAAATGTCTTGCTTGGAAGAGAGCTTGCCTCTCGCTATATACTACCATGGCCATAGCATCGCAGCGGAGCCCCTGTGAGCAAGACAGCCCAAACCCACCAAAGAAGCTCAAAGCTTCATCAAACTAGACGGAGAGTTGTGCACTAGGAGCGGCCGATGGAGATGGACCGTGTATAGGAGATGGGTACATTGAGGTGGGAAAATGGAAGCCAGTTGGGCACAGTGGCTGCGAAGAAAAAGCTTCTTTGTCTGGTCGATCGTTTGCGGCGGGAACGCCACGAGCACCCTGCAATTTCTTCGCCATTTCATTTCTCTTGTTATTTTATTTTTACTCCTACCCGCGTTTTACTTTCCCGGCAAACAAACAGACATGATCCACGTTCGTCATCAGACAATGCTCGCCAGCTGTCCACCGCCCCATGCAGCAACAATAAACAACACAAGGGAGAAGCTGCCCTGCCTCAAGGGGGTAGCGGCGTAGGCGCGCACGTCCGCCATCCGCCATCCGCACACGGCGGCAGCGACGAAAACCCCCGGCCAGGCAGCTGAATATCCATCTGCGTGTGTGAGATATCGTCCTCGTCTGCCATTGGCACTTTTTCGCCTCTTTCACCTCTTGTCGACTTGTCTCTGGCCCCCTCACCCCCAGCGTTTCCTCGTGCATATACTTCGTGTACACTGACTCCATCAGCTCGACTCCATAACGAAAAATAAGTCCAGAAGCCCGACGCCTCCTTATTACGCCTTCATCTTCCTTGATTTCTAGATTCCTTCTCTCTCTAAATGCCGCCTATCGCGCGCTCACGCCCCCTCTGGCACGCACCCCCCTCCAGTCTCAACCAGAGACGGACAATGCCGCCTTTGGAATGCACGCCATCAGACCTTTGGAATGTTGAGCGATGAGACAAAGGACTGGAGGCCCATGTGCAGGAGCTCACCGAGCCCGGGGGCAATAGTTTCTTTATACGTCCACTACACGTGATCCTCTATGTGTATTTTCGTCTACATCTTGTTTCCTCCGATCTCCGCCGCCTCTTTCCTCCGTTCGACTGTATAAGTTGTGCACCTATAGCATGGCACTAGGCTTCCTGTGGCGTCCAAGCACTTTAGGAACCGTGACAGCCACCGACGCCGACGCCGAGGGGACTTGGCAACAAGAGAACTATAGAAATTGAAAATCTTATAAAGAGATATAAGAAAGAAGGGGTGGAGCACGAATCATGACTGCCACATACTCGGATACGTAGACGTCTAGACTTTTCTTTTTTTAACTCTCCATATAAGACTCAATTTCTTTGGCTTACGAGATTCTTTTAGTCCCTCCCTTTGAGACCTACAATGTCTCGGGCCGTAGGATGGTGTGGCGGGTGCGAAAGGGAGGGACCGGACACTGCTGTAGAAGCACGGAGTATTCGTATGCAGGGCAATCTTTGTTACGTTGGCAGCGTAAGAGACATGGCCGGCCCGCCATTTCAGATTACTTTCATTCATTCAAGCCCAATCATTTCTCAGGGCTGGTCTAAAACCCTTCCTCCCCCTCCCCCCCTCTCAGTAGCTATTATAGTAGTACTCCGTACATCATTTTTAACATAAAAGACACCCAAAAAAAGAAATAAGAAAAAAAGATGTGCCTAGGATTTCCGTCAAAATCCGCCATGACCTATTTATCAACCACTGGTAAACTTGTTTAGCACACCGCCCAGCGCCAATCCTTCACAATGATATCCCTCCCTTGCATGATCTAGCCCTGTTCGTCCATGCTCTTCTGCAAAATTACAGATAGCCTTTGCCCCCCTCGCTGGCCAATAGTGCAGCGCTGCGGCGGGCGTCTAGGAAGAGGTCCTCACATTCGGACACGTCCTGGAGGTCGATCTGAGTACGGCCATTCGCCTTGGCAAGAATGCTGTCGGGGGGGAATGTCACACGTCAGCCGTCAGTTGTCTCACGCAAAGGAACTTATTCATGCAATGAACCATGGGACTCACCTTGAAGGCGTCAGCAGCTGTAGGCAGTATCTTAAGCTAACGCGGACACCGTGCTCGGAAATTTTGTCAATGGCGGCGTCGGTAATCGAGACACCCTCGGTCGTGGCACGCAGCTTGACAATCTTTTTGATCTCATCCGCGGAGTACGGGGACGTGGGTATGATGAGCATTCGCGCTAAAAAGTCGGGAGGAATGCCATGAGCCGCAACAACGTCGTCAGTGCCTCTTATTGTGCACATTCCCCGGTTCGAGGCCAGAACGACAATAGGGGCGAGATGCGATTCCAATGCTCGGTTCAGGTAGGTGAAGCACTCCACATCGAGCATGTGAGCCTATCATAATCCAGTGTCAGTGTCTGATGCCAATTTTCTTCCATATCCTATACAATGGGATAGGTGGGGGGGCATTTACCTCGTCGATGAACAAAACACCTGGGACCAATTCAGCCACACCCTGGTCAATGTATTTTCCAACCACCTTGTTGATCTCGGCACGCAGCTTGTCCGTGATTTCTGTCATCTTGGGCTTTAACAGTTGACCCATCATGCTCATAATGTCCTGTCCACCCTGCGGCCGAGCGTTTGCAACGTCCAGATCATGCAATGTGACATCCTGCACAATCTCCTTCTTCTTGTGTACCTCACCCTTGGGGATGGGTACGTATTCTTCAGCCTCAAGGTCAAACTCGGTGGCATACGCATCGGACCGTCCCACCCTCTTGCAAGCACCAGTGTTTGCCTCGATGTAGATAACGTCACCAACAGTGACTCTCTCCTTCTGGATAGCCTCGTAGATGCTGGGGTCCAATCGAAGCTTTTTCTGGCCCTTGGCACTCTTCAGTCCAATCAGCAGTGTGCTGATTGTCTTTCCGTAGCCGCCCAAGGGATTCTCTGCCTCTTCTGGCGTAAGCTCGGTAACCTCGCCCTCATAGACCTCTTTTGTTTCCCGGACCTTGAGGCCGATCGCTCTTCGGAAGTTCTCCATCAGGATTTCGGTCTTTTTGACTTCTGACGAATAGATCTCGCTACCCACGATTGGGCAGAACGGAATCTTGGTTCCCAATTCTTGGCTGATCGCAAGGGCCAAAGCCGTCTTTCCAGTTCCTGGGCCACCAGCTAACAGAACACCTCGGCCGGCCATTTTGTGAGCTCGAATCAGGTCGACAACGACGCCGCATGACTACCATCGCAAGCAGAACGGTTAGTGGGTTGAATGGATGTCATCCTGGGGAATCTCCTTACTTCTCGAGCGGGAACCTGGCCAACAAAGCCGCCAGCTTGGGTGTCGGCATATCCGTCAGATTTCAGCCCCAGGCCCTTGATGTGTGTGTGAGCCGCAGTGCGGTTATCGCGTTTGTTGCCCTTGACTTCGCTGATTTGAACCATCTTGGCGGTGCGATTCGGGCCTCGGAATCAATTGCAGGAGGCAAAATAGTAACGTCCTTATTCTTTAATCAGATACCGTCGAGTTTGTCTATCTATCGCATGTCCGGGTGAGGTGGGCTGAGTTGCAAAGTACAAAAACGGATGATCTTGAAATTTTGCGATTGGATCACAGCCCTGCAGCTATCGAGTTACCAAGCGCGGCGTCGCGACTGCTAGCTTGCTCTCGCTTCACGTGATCAGACTCGCCTACCCTGAAGCTTCAGCTGTGCCGTTGGAATTTCCCTACATCTAACATCGAACAGCTCTTTTCTTTTTTTCCAACTGCTGAATTACTCGTACGGGGATTGCAATCTAAAATTCTGGTTCGTTATTAAAATCCTATCATCGGCTTGGACTCTTTCACATATGGCTGTATTGCGGTTCTTGTAAGAGAAACTATTATGGAGTGGCTCTTTACTATGTAGCATTCCAACAGCTCTCCATAACAAACTTTAACAGAAAATGACCTTCGGGATTCATTTTTTCGACTACATATCACTGCCAGTAAATGCCGATGACTTTCCTTTCGATACTGTTCCCTAAGATGCTAAAAATTTCTGGTGCTCTGGACGGAAAATAACTTTTCTCTTGGATTACTGTCTACCCAGAATCTATCTCATGCCAACTGTCCATGACCCAGCTTATATTAGGTACCCATGCAAATCAATTTCTATTCAAATTTATTCCTTCTACATGAACCCCCGTATCGACAAGCATCGGCGATCCTTCTGCTTCTCCTTCTAGATTCCCCTGCCTCTCGACATCGTTCGCTTTTGGAACTGGCGGATTCTTTGTGAAAACGACGGTGATGGCGCTGCCAAGAATAAGAGCACAGCCAGCCAGGCTTGTCATACTCATGCTGTGGTCGAAGATCCACTTGTCAAAGCCGACGGCAAACAACATGTGCGTATATATCATGGCGTTTGCTTTGTTGGACTTGTCGGCTGCAAGGCCAGAAGTCAACAGGTATTGCATTATGAAGCCGGGCACTGCAATCCAGAGGAGCAGAAACCATCCCTTCCAAGACGTTGGCGTGATCCACCTCAAGTGAGGCTGGCTGATGTTGAGAGTTGGCGCCAGAATTAACGCAATGATGCAGATGAATGTGCACGCCATGCCGAAGAAGTTGACCGAGATCAGAGGATGAGCGCGCTTTCCAATGGTACGAATGCATGTGAAAGCGCCAGCAGCTCCCAATACCCCAAGAAGAGCAACACCAACAGCGAGCAGCCGCTCTTCAGCAGTGGGCTCGCGGTCGAGACCAGGGAAAGCCCCATCCACTTGCTCAGGAGCATCCACCACCTGGTCGTCGGACGAAGAGAGGTCCATGAACAAAGAAATTGGCTGAGCAATGAGTATCACCCCTAAAAGGGCTACGCCCGTGGCAATTTGCTCCGGTCGTGTAAACGGCTCACGCAAGGCAAAGTAGCATAAAAGACCAGCCACACCAGGGGCGAGGAAGCCAATGACAGTGGCATCGGCGAGCGGCAGATACATCATGGAATACCACATGCCGTATATGCCAAAGAACCCCGAGAAACCACGAGCCAGCAGAAGCCACCTGACCTCTTTATTGCCCAAGAGGAAATCAGGGATGCCCTTCCACCACATATACGCACAGCAGACGACAGACGTGAGCCCTTGCCGAAGGAGAAGCACTTGGATCGGATGTATTCCATCGCCGTCTAATTCCAGCAGTCGAGCACTGAGGTTCATCAAAGCCCCGAAAAACTGAGAGACTGCGACAAGTATAGAAGGCTTGTTTCTTATCCAAAACTGTTTCAACCGAGACGACGGCGCTTCGAGAGGAGGCGGATGAACTCCCGTCGGATTATATGGTCCATGGGGAATCGGGGAAAGTCTTCCACTGGGAGCTGGACTTATAGAAAGCTGACGAAAGTCTTCAGCTAACAGCGATGGTTTCGTTTTCGTTTGATAATCGCCAGAAACAACTGCATTTTGCGGCGCGATATGGTAACCATCTGCCTCTTCTGGATGGTTTTTGTATGGGGAGAGGTGCAGCTCAATCTCTGCCGGTGCAGGCGGGGATCCGGTTATTCGTTCAGCCTCCATGGCCACCCTCTTAAATCACCTTGAAAACGCAACAAGATCAAACTGCATCTGGATTAACGAAAGCTGATGGCAGTAACTAGATGGTACCGATAATACAACGCCAAGAAGCCGTGGGATACCAAGTTTTCAGCAGACTGAGAACGATGTGCCATTACAAGACGAGATTTTCCTTCTACAGCTCTACTCTAGCCAGGCAGACACCGCCCAGTGACCACCCGCTCCTCCTCAACACCACCAGCATTAGTAGCAAGAAGACTGCATTTCATTCTGCTTGGCGCCTCTTCCCCATGGCACCCTATTGGCCTCTCTGGGGGTGGATCTGATATAGTCGTTCCTCTAGCCGCCTTTATCGCAGTCATCGCCCCATCACCGAAGAGCTGTGACGGCAATTTTTTAACTGGCGGAGAAGCAGCGGCAACAGCTTACGAAATCGGCCTTTTCTCCATCCAAGAGCTCAAGGGTGCGAATACTGTAGCTAAACAACTCGGTAAAAAACCGACCACGAGCTGGCCACGCGGTGACCCGATATCGCTATCTGCGGCCGGCCCGGAGCATGTGGTGGCAGAATGCGGATATCGGTCGCCGATCGTCTCCGCTCCGCTTTATTCCCATGCGCCCGGCTTAATTTGTGCTGTTATTAGCTCATCTGGGGTAGCAGAGGGCATTTGTTGATATTGTGGCGTAAGAATCTATTTAATTTTTCTGGTTGGGTATTTTCTGGCTTTCAAGTCGTACCCAGGCACGTAGGATGGACTAGCTGACATTTAGTGAGTAGTAGCGGCATGATATATCACATGCGACGTTTGGTAGGGAAGGCTAGGCTGCTCAGCCGTAGCTGAAAAACGCAAGAAGGATCGCGTAAATTGTGGTATTGATCAGCTGGCATCCATTAAGCTGTAAGTATGTGCTACTAAAGAAGGAAAAGAAGAAGATCCCCAAAACGCCGATCCTACCTATGTATCGAGCATCTATCACATGCTTTGTGCCGCCCTAAACTCCAGAACAATGCCTTTCAAAATCAAGCACAAAAAAAAAGGGGGACATAAACGGCCCAGTCGATGTCCTTTCAAGAACAACCACCATTACTTCCTCTTACCCAGAGCGTCTGCTTCCGCCTCGGCATCATCATCTGCTTCGCCCAGCTCCTCTTCCACTCTATTCGATTTCGGCTTCTCTTTTTCCTTGTCCTTTTCCTTTTCCTTCTTCTTCTCTTCATCCGCCGCGTCCTTCATTATCTCATCTTCACCATCCCGCAGAATTTCTCGCGCCTTCTTGATCTCCTTCTGCTTCTCGAAAACCTCCTGTACTTTGCCCAGAAACAAAGGGTTCTTCCGAAAGGCAAACTCAAAGTCTTCGTATTTGATCTTTTGCCGGCCCGAGTAGTTCGCCGCGCGGTTCGCTTCGAAGGCGATGGACTGCATGAAGTCGGTGAGGATCTCGTCCAGCACGCGGACGGTTTCGGGCATGGGATTTTTGATGTCTCCGTGGGCGTAGAGGAGTTGTGCCACTGTAGAGCGTGATGACGAGTTAGAAGACTTTTATTTTCCTTTTTGCTATATCGCGCCGTGATATCTTCTTTATGTCTTTTGGATGTTCTTGGTTATGGGAGGGTGGTGTGCATACGTTCGGCGTAGGAAAAGTTCATTTTGCCGACATTCTTGCCGGCGCGTGCACGAGGCTCCATCTTGAATATATGTTGCGTTTGTCGCTTCTTCTCTTCTCGTGTGCTGTTCAGTAGATAAATCGTTTGTAAAAAAAATCAATGATGCTTGAGTTCGCAAAGCTTTGAAAAGAAAAGATTGAAATCGCAAGTTTGCAATCGAAATCGCAACTTCTGGTTGGTGGAGTACGGACGAACTGCATGTCATCAGTTTCCAGCTGATTGTGGGTCCCTCAGGCAGCTTTGCCATCGGATCGGCGAATCTTTCCTCCCTATCCGACATCTGGCCCTTTCAAGCTCCCAGCGAGACATGGGTATCGCGAACAGCTTCGATGGCCAGATCTGTTTGACGAATGCTTTCCTACTAGCTGTATAGCTTTAATTTCAAGTCGCCAAGATGGTATGTTGCTGCGCCATTACGTTTGTGCAGAAGGAGCTTCAGTTTGCTAACATTGGCATCGATTTTAGTCTGCGCTTTTCAACTTCAGGTCCCTTCTACTCGTCATCTTGCTATTGATTTGCACGAGCGCCTATGTCCACCATTTCACCCCGGGTATCATGGACCGGAACAAGAACGGGTATGCAATAAACCCATTTACTACACGAGCTACAGCGGCCCTAAGGCTAACAATTGGCCTTACAGAGTCATGGGTATCTTCTGGAAGTGCGCAAGGATAGGAGAGCGACTAAGTCCATATATAAGCATATGCTGTGTCATCATGGCCGTACGTGTGCTTTCTCCCGATATCTTCTTCTATTTCCAAAAGATTGGCAGTACGGAATACTAACATAGGAGACTAGGTTTCCATCCTGCTCAGCTAAAACCTACGACCTACAATCAAAATGAAGAGAAAAGATACCAGCCAAAACCTTTTATTTGGACACATACCAGAGAACCATACGCTTTTCGGAGTTTTAGGCGAACGGATGTAGCTTGCACGAGACGAGACTTACACGACCAATTCCAATAGACATACAGCGGCACACCCTCCAGAGGAAAGGGAAAAAAGAGTCTGGGAAGGAAATACCAACACAACCTTCAGCGAATAGGTTCAATGGTTACTGCGTCAGCAAGCCTCAGATATGGCCTATTAGCTGGTTATTCGGAGAACTATAACACGCTCACTGCTTGTACGCATTCGGACGAAACATGAGCATCCGTCTACTACGCCAAAACGGATGGAGTATATCTCATAACAAGCTCCTAGATGAGACGAACCTAACACTTACTACATCATCACTAGCAAAGACAAAGCCATATCATTGTCTGACCATGTATTTGTACCATAGCATGCTAATTGCAATTAAGAGAGATACTTTCCCAAATACCCCAGCTCAATTCTATGCTCCTTAGTCTGAAAGTTTCCGCTAGATTGTTAATGTATCGTCGCGCGGGCGTTGAAGGCAAAATACTCCCGACACACGCGCAAGTAAGCAAAACAACATTTGAAGGCAACAAATACGAAAAAAGTTGACATATATAAACAATCGTTCTTTTCTTTCTATTTTTAGTTTTACCTTTCTCTAGTTATGCATGCGCTGCTGAGGGGATCAGCCGACGGTAAGAACCGAGTAAAGACAACATTGAACTCAATTCACGCCTTTTGGCACGATGGAATAGTATAAGTAACTTTAACAGCACCCTGTCAACGCAGCCTCAGTGACATTCCCCTTACCCCAGAAAAAAGTATCATCCCAAGAAGAAGGGGAGAAAAAAAGCTACCTGAATACGAGGCCTCCATCCCCAAACCAATGCGTTTCACCCCCCCTCCGAAGCTGATAATCTTTATCACGATAGCCTACTACGACTCTAACCTAAACTTTCACCGAATATCGCATAGTCAAGAGTTGCATAGGGTCGCAATCAAGCTTAGTTAGCAAGGTAGCATCAAGGCAGCCGCATTTAATACAAGGTAGCATTCTTGCATACTCCGCATTATATTTGTGAAAGCCTCAATCTCTCATCGTCTCAGATAAAGTACTCAAGTATCTGGTACTGTACCTCGCTCACCGACAAATACTATACAATGGCCCCCCCTTGACGTCAGTGGCATGACTTGGCCGGGGGGCCCTAATTCTTCGAAAGTGGGAAAGGAAGCGTTCCAGAAGGTCATCTCCGAGATCCTCTCGATGCTGCAGCGGAGCCTGACTAGAAGAAATGACCAGGGTATTACTTCGTTAAGGTTCATCAGGAAAGCTTCCAGCAGAAAGATGAAGCTTGAGTCAAGGAAAACATGCTCATTGTTATCAGGCACGTCAAGATGACAATCAAGACCAAGGAAATGAGTGAAGAAGACAAGAGAGCAATACAAGGCTCTGCCGCTGTTTTGCACGAACCCGCGTGGACAATTAAAGCCTCTTTTCTTAGCTCCCCTCGCCTTCTGGTTTCGTTGCTTGTTTCTCCATATTCCCTGCTGTATTGCTTCGCTGGCTGGCGCTCCTTTTCTTGGCCAATTACGACTCCACCGCCTCGGTGTCTACGGGCGAGTCGCCCGCAGAAGCGAGGCTTGCCAGCTGAATTGTCATTTTTTCTGACAACCATTTAGACTTGGGTGCCGAAAATATGCGACTGAGCGCGATGCTCAGCCCGAAGAGCGGTGGAACCTAATGAGTCGACGGGGGGCTGGTTTGCTTTGCTCTCTTGGCCCAAACAGCCACTGCGACAAGTCCAAATGCCTCCATGTCGCTTATTTCGGTAGAGCTGGCGTCTCTATCTCTTTCACTTCACTAATTCCCTCCCTCTCATCCTTCTGAATCAGCCACACTAGCATGAAACTTTTCCCTCCTCTTCTCGTTTCCTTTGGGGTGCTGGGTAAGTAGAGTGGAAACAATCGTTGCGTTATGCATCGGCCGTTATCATGCTAGCGGGATCGGCAAGGCCATCAGCCCCATCGCCAAAAGCAGCGGTAGTATCAGAAAGTGCAGACGCGGCTCAGTCTGGCGTCTTCGTGAGTCAGCTACTTGCACAATGTTCTAAATAGGAAGACGGTGTCCTTTATACCTCCTTCCTGCTTCGAAGAAGGCCCAGCTCCTCTGGCGTTAGAGTTAGGACCTCCTTTTGAAGCGAGAGAGGGAAGCCAGGAGAAGCGGAACTGAGGTGGAGCATAGCAAGAAGCTATCCAGGAATCTGCATGCATGTCATTGCGTACCGTCGCTCGGCGCTGACTGTATTCTGTACTTTCGTACCCGGCGTCCCGATATCTTTGGATCTTGGTCACAAGGATTCTGGAATCCCCATGTCTCGGCCTTTAGCCGTCGGACTCTGCCCTGTACGAAGTGCGAAGTGGAAGTGCTAGTGGCTGATAGGCAACTTTCTAGGCCGTGTTGGAAGCCTTCTCTGGACCCTGTCGACAGTACAGCGACGACACCTGGCCCTATTAGGTCGATTGATCAGAGCAAGGCACATGGACAGAGTGCATGGATCTGCTCTATCGACATTTAGCAATGATGGATCAAAGAGTTACGAGTACTTATCCGGTCATCCTCCTGCTCTAGACAGCTAGAACATGTTCGCCTATGAACTAGACTAGATGTCGATTCTCAGGGTCTCGGTACTAGGTGCCGTTGATCCTCCTACTGGGTACATCAAGAGCGGAGGAGAAAATGGGTCTCTTAACTCTCTCGAATGGCAAGCTCAGGCACTCCCGCATATTGCCGGTCAAGTTGCTCCGTACGAACACATCTTGTTGGATAGCATCACAATCATGCTATGGTGATCGGCACGCCGATTTCGCCCCGTATCAACGGGGCTTATTTCATCCTAGCCTCCTCGAGGCCCAACGCATTACCGACAGCGCATGTCCTTTGTTCTGAGACTTGACTTGCCTCACCGCTAGCTTTTTGAAGAAGCTGATTACTTCGTATATATGGCAAGTATGGATGAATGAGTGAAAAGTAGTATATGCAGACTGACAACGTATCGGGCTGCCCGCATTCTGGCTGCTAAGAGATCGTCACGTCAGTGAGGCCCATTTATCTCATGCACGTGTAAAGAAAAAGCTTTTGTCTTTTCAACTTAAGCTTAGAGCTGATAAACATCTCCTCAGTCATAGACAGCTGTCCAGACGATTGGGACCCTAACTCTGACGTGCTCAAGCAAGAAGCCAAGTACTAGTCAATATTATCAGCTACTAATTCATTTTGCTTTCCAGAGACCAATGAGGCTCATTAGGTTTTGTACTCCGTGTGCCTCGGAGATGAGGAAAACGCACGACGGAGAAGAAAGCTGTGGCGGCGAAGCAAAGCTCCACCTCCCGTCTGGGAATACTTCCAGAAGGAAAGGGGGAAGCAAAATCATAACGCCACTGGCTGAGAAAATTTTCAAACAACGCGCCCGTTATTAATAGAGTCTTGATTCATAGCTTGCATTAGCGACGATTCAGAAGCTGTTGAAAATCACAGCCGGGGGAAGAAAAAAGATCAAACATCGTGGCAATAGATACCGGTGTTCCATATGATGCGTGCTGGAAGCTCCGGTCTGATGCGGCTACGGACCACCTGTTTCTGAGTTTTCCCGCATTCTCGGACCCTGGGAAAGTCGTTAGACAAGGAGCAATGAGGGACAAAAAATTCAGATTGACTTCGACAGGGTTTAGCATGTAGTCTGTATGGCGGTGGCGTTAAGGTGCAAGTGGCAGCCAACCTCCCGAGTCGAACGTCGTTCGCCGTCAAACAGGCCCAGCGGCACCAAAATGCTGTGACCCGAAATAGCAGTAAAGTCAGAGCTAAGTGCTAGCAGCAGCAAATATGCCGGAAATTGGAATAGTGGTCTCAGGCGACGGCAACGGGCAGAGGATGACGTGCTGCCATTCATCTCGGCGGCATCTCTCTTGTGAACACGAGGAGTGATGCGAGATCGATATAGGATGCATACGTAGGTAGATGGTTGTATCTGTAGCTGTGGTTGCATTATATAAGAGGGATCTTGTATCAGTTGCGAGGAGCATGTTTATTCAGATGCCTTGTTCCATATCCTCTTCCGCCTCTTCTTCCATTCTATTTTTAAAATAGGACAAACTGGAGGGATGTAGAGGAAGAGATAAAGTGACCATTGCTCGATCTAGCAAGATGAAGAGTTCTCGGCATAGATGACATCAGATAAACCTTTGCCGTGCATCTGATCATATATCAAGTATAAGAGGAAACAGACGAGAGGTAGCCTCAAAACAAATCCCAGCCAATGATAGCAGTGCATGCATGCGGCGCCCTTCAAAAGGCTGTAATTTGAGACAAGTGTGGTGACATTGTCGGGCAGCACAGGCACAACCGTTTACTATGAAATGCTTTGTAGTAGACACGAACCGACGCTGTAAATGCTAAATGCGGCAACTGTCTTTCCATTTCCGGCGCGATGCAGCAACGGCGAACAAATGACTGGCTTGGCGGCCGGGGCATCATCCCGATGCCGTCTCCGTAGGTCAGTAGTGGCTGTTGAAGATGGCTTCGGATCGCCATCAGTTTGTGGTGGTTACACAACGCATGTAGGCGCATCTACGGGCTACCGGTGCTCATTGGTACGGCCAGCGGCATGCATGTATGCGTGTTCTCTTGCGTTCTCAGTTTCGTCGAGATGGATGCTATCCGCGTAGGGAGTCTGGCAGGGTCTTGGGGCGTCTCCGGCTCAGCTATCCCAGAAGCCTCTTATTCGTAGAGGTCTATTGCTAACACGTTTCGTGCTTGTCGTAATTGGAAATAGGTATGTGTCTGGTGGGGGGGTCTATGTGAGCCGCTGTCATCTGCTTGAGTCACCTCACCTCGTTCGGGCCCAAAGCCGTCAGATGGGTGGCCTTGGGAATGCCCGCTGTCGGGAGCAGCTCCATGCTGGGTCATCCAGGACGAGTCCCATTGCATCGCACAATCACGGGACCCCCAGAATGAGCTGTCTTTGGTGTGGTGCTTCTACGGGCAATGCTGCTGGGTCCAAGGCATCAATGAGGTTGACGGATAGCAGAGCGACGACGGCCTGGGGCGCTATCCCCTAGCTTGCAGTTGGTGTTACACGGCGCGTGCTGCATTGAATGTGTGGAGTGGTGAGAAAAGCCAGTGCCCCCAATGGCTGCTGCAGAGACTCGCTGCTTAGTGGTTCTTCACGGCCATGAGCTAGCCACGAGCCACGACGGCTGCAGCATCAACCAGACATGTGCTCGGATGGGTCAACAGCCCGACGTGCTCCGTCTCGTCTTGGCCGTGGTGGCAGTCTGACAATGCCCCCGTGACCACCAAGTGGACTGTCGACTAGCCTCGTCTGCTCATCCATCTGCAGCAGCATCCAGTAGCCTTTTTCCTCTGCGAAATACCACCAGTGGTGATTTTGGACGGTGCGCATATGCGATTGTGTACGTAAAGTTTGGATTCGGCATGTCTGGAGTTCGCAGTCGGTAGCGGCGGCTGCGGCACCAGAAGAAGCGCTCAATCCGTCGTCAGGCCGATACTCGGACTGGTGTTTTCCTTGGTCGAACCATCGATGTTTGTATGCACTATGACGGACCTCCGTGGGCAAAGGGCGAAGGGCGGCGAAGCATTGGAACTAGATGGTAATCATTGTACCAGCATCGCACTTTTGCTGCCGAGAGTGAGTCAGGAAAGGGCGCGGGCAAATGGCAGGCCCGTAAGCAAGCTGCGAGCATGTATCAGTACCGGCCAAAGTGGTACAGGCCTTTCAGCGCCGCAGAAAGCTGCTGGGACCAATCTCGGCACTCCATGCTTTGGCAGGTCCGGGAGCTGTCGATGAAGTCATGTTCCATCCCACCCGCACCTGCTCTCTCCAGCCTGGCGAGCACAGCAACGAGGGAGATTGGGCCGTGAGTAAACACCCTCTTTCGCTCTGGGCGAGGGGCGGCTGTGTCAGTTAGCAGCAAGGAATGCCACCACTCGTAAGCGAGTCAGCCGGAAAACCCAAACAGCAAGTCTGCATAAGAGCGATATTGGAATGGTGTCCTGTTTGGAAAGCAAAGGTCGCCGGTGCGTTTCAAGCAAGCCTCATTGAGGGTCGGTGTACCTGTGGCGGCGTCATTAAAGGCGGGCAGAGGGCGGTACCGCGCCCAAACTGTAGCAGCACTGCTAGGTCAGGTACTTTGATGCGTTAGTACGCATTGTTGTCGGTGAGGCCCGAAATGGAGGGGCAGGCGGAATCTGGAGGTGCGCCTCGTCGCAATGCGAGGCCGTGGTTGCGCTCTGGGCGCTGTTGGATGCGCTGGCGCCAGCCGCTGGTTGCTGGAACAGGGCGCCAAAGAACCAAACCCGCTTGTTTGCAGGCAAAGCAAGATTCGAACTCAAGTCAATTCAGTTTTGCCTTTCGGACCCCTTGGTTTTAGCGTTTTTTCCTGTTGGTTGGGCTGGCCTGCTGTGGGCGGTACATGGGCCATGTGCCATATCCGGGGTCTTGGGAAAGCAAAAGACTGGAACTCGTTGCCGCATCGCCCCTAGCGAGGCCGAATCTCGTGCCTGGATTTCGGGGAGTTTAGCGACAAGACTACGCCATGCTAGTGGGGGGCCTCGCTGGCTCTAGTAGGGGACGGAGCACGGAGGGCCTAGCCTCCGTTTTAGACGTGGCCCGTGCTAAATGAAGGTCCTGCTAGCATTAAGGTACGGAATTCGCGCCATGGCTCTCCACACGCTAGCTGTCGTGGTATTGAGATACGGAGTTGGGCTAGACCCTGGAATCCACAGCCAGCATAATATTGCCTTGCCACCATGGATCTGTTCAATACAGCTGGCTGCTATTAACGGCACTCCATATTCGCTTCCATCTCAGCCTTGGTACGCAGCAGACCTCGGGTGTGGTGTGCCAGCAGCACCCTGGCGCGGGCAAAACGTACTAAGCCTGGCCGCTGCTACCCTATTACCACCTCCTGCTTTGCACTTTGATGACTGGAGCTCAACTCCAGGGACGGGGACCGACAGACCACCTGTCATATCCCACCTTCACTTTCCGGCGGTAGCGCAGATGGGCCGCTGAGGAGCTGGTGGGACGCGGATTGGCGGCTCTCACCTTGTTGCTTGTCTCGTCTGCATTGCCCTTTTGGATGCGGGTGACTGACTTCGAAGCTGGGCTGCCCACCCCCTATGCGACGACAACCTTCGGCCGCTGCTTGGGCTAGTTGGTCGTCAATCAGGGCTGGCGGATGCGTCTCCCACCAACTCGATGCCTGTCGTCTGGTACTGTACATACCTACTGCTACCTGAAAACAAGCAAGTATTTGTTTCGTTTGTTTGTTCCTTTTCTCGCCGATCCAGCTCGCATTGTTCTTTGATTGATGCTGGCAGCTAACAATCGGGCTTCAGGCGGTCGATAAATCACGACATGAAAGGAATCGAAAACGTCTCCGACCCGACTCCGACAGTGATGTTCGACTCGACAAAGGCTTTTCACGGTGCTCCTCCCGAAAGCTTTATCTAGCGACATGACTTGGCGCCGAGGCCGTCGTTCTTTGTGCCGTTTAAAACTGCTCTCCATTTTTTTTTTCTTTCGTCGTCTTCTGTTTTCGCCTCTGGGACGCTCTTAGCGCTGGCTTCTTCTTCTTCTTGTTTCGTATGGGGTACTGAGTACCGGTACCAGCTGTCTGGTGCGTCGTCAAGTGGGCAGGGGTCCTCTCCAACTCCAAGGGAGCCATCCAATTGGCGGTACCCCCTGGAGCATGTCTCGTCTAGGCAAGCAGAGCCAGCTGTATTGTTGCCCAAGTGCCGCCGCCGCCTGTCTCCAAGCGAGAGCAAACGGAGCGAATGGCAGATTACGGAGCAATGTGCACATCTGCCGCTACATGTACCTACAAATATGCGTGCAGGTATGCGTTGGACCTATTCCATGCCTATCGGGCCAGACGACCTGCGGCCGGCTTGATTCAACCATTGCATTAGGGCCCCTTTTCTTTTTGTTAATACTGACTAATGACCTCTTCCATGGTCGATCTTTGAAATCGATAGCAGACAAGTAGAAAGCGACGCGACGCAAAAAGGATAGTCGACTTATGGTCTTGACCTTTGACACGGAATACTCAAAGGGATGTTCCGTTTGAAAGCACCGTCGCTAAACAATCCAAGACCCATGCTAAAATTATGGACGGCGTGCGGTACGGAGTAGCATTAACCTCATCCACTACTGACATCTTATCGAACGTGTCATCCCACACCACCAGGGACCACCCTGTTAGCCTGGTTGTTTGCCGTGCTTCTTTCTCTTTCAGCGGCCAGCCGCGCCAAGAGCAGCAGACTAGGTATACCAGCATGGTCAGCCGGGGGCAAAGAGCCATATTGGATAGAACGTGCAGCGCAGCTCTTCACCATTTTGGTTGGAGAACGGCAAAGGCTCGTTGGTGGGTCGGGATTCAATGGCAAATGAAGCGCGGAGATATACAGGTAACAATGGTTTTTACTAATACTGCCCGGAGACCGAGGGAAAGTTAATCAATAGTTACAAAGGAAAAGAAAGAAAGAAAGCAGAGAAGAAATTTTTTTTCCACGCTCTAGCTCGGTCTGTGGCGCCGGTCTGTGGTCCTGTGGCTGCGTGGCAGGCTGTCATGTTGCGCCGCTGAGGTATTACTCCCACCATACTGGCACACATACATTCAGGACATGGGCGTTTCTATCGCAGCAGTGCTAGGACCTGTCCTTTTGCACTGGGTTCTGAGTTTGTCCATGGCTGCAGACAAACATTGGGCTTTTGTTGGGATAAGGCCGCGTTGCAACTGGAATGGCCCAATACGAGAACCCGTCCGCCACCGCGGCTGCCCATGTGGATTTGCGATGGGACGGGGGTGACTCGTTGCTGAATACGTCCTACATACACTTACCACTACTCGTCTGTGTATGTGGACTCGCGCCGTGTTTGCAGAGCAGAGTTGATCCCCTTGGTTGCCATGAGCCCAGCCGAGCTGCGGTGCGTGTGGCCCTCCCCCCTTCTCGTCCGAGATGGAATCTGATGCCTAGCTGCAGGGCATTGAACAGACGTGGCAAGGCGAAGACGACTAACGGGCGGGCACAATACGACGGTGATGAGATAAAACATACGACGGACGAGATGCTGCAGACACTGGACGGGAAAACCTCCTCTCGGCCGTTTCACACTGTTGTTTTCCTCGCCTTTTGCTGCCGCCATTGGCCACCGGCCTCCCTTCCAAACGCCTTCCATCTCCTTAGTCATGACTCTCCCCTTGCCTCTGCTCTCCGCCCTTTGTGTGTCTGGCTCGCAGCAGAGGCCAATGCAAGGGCTGGTCGCTACGGCGAGCAGAAGGCAAAGTTACGGTGTATCCACAGCCAAGGTGTGAGCGTGAGCATGCCAGCAGCCGCAAGGCCACACAGTGTGGTGTCCCAAAAGGGCCTCCGTCTTTCCCCCACGCCATCTTCGAATTAGACCTGGCGACTACCTACTGTACAGTTAGTGGCCTGAAGCCAGTGCTGCACGAGGCGTGTAAGTACCATGACCTTCTCCAAATCTCTGTCATCCCTCCCCCCCCTGCTTCCTTTCTTTTCTTTTTGGGGTGGCTTGGTGTGGTTAATCAGCGAGCACAGTATGTTGCCCCCTCCAGCCGGAAGCCCCAGCGCCATAGTGTTGCTGGCTTTGGCCTCGTCCGTCCCAGTCCCAAGTGCGAGTCCCAGCCGATGCGTGGTCAGATTGGATTGCGACAGCGCCGATAGCGCCTTGAGCGCCCTGCCTGGCGATGGTGCCGCCATCTGTACCCACCACATCCATTCATCCTCGGGCTTCCTGACTGCACTTGTGCTCTGATTTTTTCCCTTTTGGCGTCGTGGATGAGGCCTAAGAGGTACCGCCACCACCACCACGACACCCGTGTACCTCCCTCGCTACCACATCTGCAACTACAACTGCACCTAAAGCAAAGTACCCACGACCGCTAGTGGTGTGCTCAGTCAATCATCGTAGAGAATTCGAGGGCGTTCTCGCGCCTGTTGCTCCCTCCAACCCTCCCTCGGCCCTGCACCGGAGAGTCCCTTGTACCGGTACTTGCTGCCCGTATATGCACGGGGCTACCTCGTCCTCCCAGCGGCTTGTTGCTCGCTGCTGGATCAGCGCCACGGTCCCTACCGCCAGCGCCCTGGCTGCAGCGCCGCGTGCTGGCGCGTGTACCCGCTACCTCGCTGTCCCCGGCCCTCGTCCGCATTGCCACGCACTGCAGCGCCAGCGTTTGGGCGCCCACCGCCGGGCCCGCGGTACCGCTACTTCAGGCACACCTAAGATTGCAGTCCTCCCTCGCTGGAGCGCTAGCCCTTCAGGAGGTCTCTCGGGCTTGCATGCGCGGGTGCTGGGTGACCTGGTGGCCAGGTACCGGTACCACGCTCCCCCATACCTCCGGATCCTGGGATGCTTGTACATGTAGATGGCCCTGCCATCTCGTGCCATCTCCGTTTCCCAGGGTCCCGTCTTTCCGCTCCTTTTTTTCCTTCTTTTTGCAGGATGGCTTTCCTTTTCCACTAGCCAGACGCCTCCTACTTCAACTTGACTAATTGTCCTGCTTTTTCTCGTCTTTCTTTTTCTTTCTCTTTTCTACTTCTCTTCTCCCCCCCCCGTCCCATCTTCTTCTCATCTTCTCATCCTTTCCCATATTCCATCTCTCACCTCTCTCTTTTGGTGGTGCTTACACCTATCCTTCACTTGGCGTGCTTGCTTCACCTTGGCTACCTTCCGCCATTGTGCTCTTTTAGCCGTACGATCGTATCTTGTTAGCGAGAACTGCTTTCGATCAGACTGTTTTGGAACCGAGCTGGATCGACCAATATTAGAATCAAAGAATCAGGAATAAAGGAATCGGAGAGAGCTTGGACCGCAGAGCCCAGCCCGACTTATACACCAAAGTACGTATACACACCAACCCACACCAACAAAGCAACGCCCGGTCCCAACTCTTGGCTATTACCATCTCCGGCACCTGGACTTGAACGACGCCTCACAGATTGAAAGGGGATATCTCTTCTTTCTTTGTGGACCTGTTCGACACATAGGGCCGGAGTCTCTGGTGACCTCGAGCAGCCGGCTATATCTGCTGCTAGCCGCTTCATTCCATTGGATCGGTTACACCCTTCTTTAGATGCTCTGCGTACACATAGCACAGGTTTAAGAAGGAAGAAGGCTAACCATCAGCTTTATACAGTCGGAGGCATACACTCATTCATTGTCCTCTTACCTTATCGGGCGAAGCTACCGAACAAGCAGCGGCTTCATCCACACTACGCTGATACTTGCAGCAACGGAGACCGGACCATTCCCGAGCATCGACGAACATATAAGATAGAGCAATTCTTTTTCTACTCGACTACAGAAGTGATACTTCTTTTATTTCCAAACAACCAGACTTTTTATTCTCTATTTTCAGCAAGATGGTTCCCGAACAGGAAACTGGAGGATCGATAGAGCGATCCCGGAGGCAGCTCTCTACTTCGGCCCCCTGCCCGACCAACCCCGAGGCAGAGCCCATAAAGGAATCCGAGGTGCCTGCACCAACCCAAGAGGAAGCGGCGCAGGAGATTACACAGTCATCACAAGTCTCGCCTCGACGTGAGGCCGAGCCTCGTGCCTCGGCGCCTCAATCTGCCCCTTTAACCCGCAATCCTTCGTCCGACTCTGCCATCTCTGTGGGAGTCGTCTCATCCTCTCCCACCCCAGAGCCCACTCTTCCATCCCACCACACACAGCGTCTTGAGCCACCAGTCACAAAAGGCACATTGAGCGAGCTCGATGTTGCCAAGATCATCCACAACCCCAAGCTTCGTCACGATATCAACTTCGACCCTGAGCTCCATTTCCGCCCCAACATCGATGGTGAAAAGGGCCGCAGAAAACATGAAAAGGCAAATCAGTTTTGGAGGGCGCTGAAACAGGAGCTGTCGGAGTTTCTCATGGACCGACCTACATTCATCTACAAGCACGGCGAGAAAGATGACTGGACTTTGCCTATCCTGCTCAATGCGGTCAAGGACATAATTCAGACACTTGTTCCCCAGCGAGACCGCCTTTTCTTGGACGAGGGTCTTGATGTCAAGCTACTCATGCGACAATTCCACAAGGGCGTTGCCGACCTTGAGAAGCTTGCCCAGTGGCTGTCGAACGTCTTGAAGTCACACTGCGCTCCCATGCGCGATGAGTGGGTTGATGCCATGTACAACCAGCTGAGCAATGGAAACAAGAACATGGACCTCGACGAGCTCGTCACTGGAATGCGAAGCCTGCTGAACGTTTTGGAAGCCATGAAACTGGACGTCGCAAACCACCAGATTCGCTGCCTGCGACCGGCATTGATCGAGGATACAATCCACTTTGAGCAGAAGTTTTTCCTCAAGAGGATGGAGTCGGGCAAGACTGATATTAGCATGTCAAGACAGTGGTATAAGGAGGCGGAGCAGGCGTACGCCGACAGCCGAATGCACCCCACACAATCGTTTGGGGATATGGGTGTATTTTTCGAGGGCCTATCAAGACTCATGCTGCCCTCGGCCTGGGAGGAACGACTACCCACCACCTTTACCTTTGACGAGGAGCGACTGATGAAGCTTAGAGCCGACGTGCTGGACGCCATCAACCTGGAAGTGTGCATGCGCGTCTATGAAGACTTTGAGAGAATAGGACGTCGCACTCCCGCAGCCCCATCATCTGACTGCTCTTCCCAGGTGGACGACATCATGGACAGATTTGATTTCAACACTCCCCCATCCATCTCCAGGCCGTCAAGCGTCGTCCACAGCGCGGCTGGATCTGCCTCCTCGTCACCCAGATCTTCCTTTGTGGTCCCTTCCTATGTCGCTCCCAAGCGTGACTCTCAGACCAAAGCTCGTGAGCTGTTCCAGACGCTCGTTGCGCTGCTGCAGACTTCCCCGCAAGCAAGCCAGCCCTCTACTCGATGGCAGATGATGGCTCCGTCAATGGCACTGCAAATCTTCCGCTTTGTCAACCTGCCGTCCACCACTCTGCCTCATTTGGAGGCCAAGCTGGCTTCCGCACTCAGCGACATCGACTCCCCTTACTACCGCGATGCTGAAGAGAGCTTCCTTAAACGCTTGATGGCCGACCTTGGCGCTCGAGTCCGCGAGTTCAAGGGCCTCTCTGGTGTTGCCCTGTTTTCAGTCGCAACTGGCGTTCGAGTTCCCAGTCGTCGACCCGCCACGGCAGACCGTGATACTGATGGCGGTTCACGAGAGGCCTTTGACGATGCAAGCGTGGACGATATTGCTACCAGAATGGCACACCTCGGCGTTTTGCACTGGCGTGTTTGGTCTCAGCTCGCATATGCCGATGATGATCAAATGACGGTTGATGATGACTCGATGCAAATTTAACTTCAACCCTCTTTGTCGACGCACACATTACAGCATTTCATGGCCTGTTGGAGCAATGTGTTTATTGCAAAGCTTTCTTTCCGGCTCACTTCTTGTTTTTTTTTTTTTTTTTTGCATTAAAAACCCTTCCGACGTTATTTTCTACACTATAGACCGACTACAGTGCCTTTTTACTCCATTTAACTCACTACTTAATCTCTTCGCATCTACTTCGCCATCCTAATCCTCCTCACTTTGGATCGATTTCTATTCTTTATATTTACGAAATGGCGTTTACTGGAAATCTGGAGAGGATAGGGGAACATGGTTTTGAGATTTTTTTTTTATATTTACTTTTTATGTTTTCCGCTCGATACCAAAGAGGCTGAATTTTATGTTTCGTTTATTCAAATCACAAGATTATGATTTTATTTTTCTATATACTATTCCTGGTGGGAGAAGGTTGGAACGTTTTGCTTTTTTCGTTTGCTGGCAATTTATTAGAGAATTTTTGCACTATTGTTTCTTTTCTTTTGAATAGAGTGGTGGAAACTCCTCATAGAATGTGAGAGAGTAAGAGGAATAACAAAGACAGGAGAAGAGAACGAATTGAAGAAACAGAATGATTTCTTCTGATATACGGGGATAAATTTTAATACAAAGACCGAGACAACGAAAGTGTTAGATTAGTTCCTGAGATACTAGATCATATGATACTCTTTTTGCATACTCACTTTCCTTTGACCATTCTTCTGTGACTTTCTCTTGAGTCTTAATTTATCACGGCAGAACAGCAAATACAAATGCACGGCAATGAAGTGTAAATCGAGATATAAGACTTCTCAATTAAAGATGTCGCTAGACAACACTGTTTGTATTGCCAGTTATATATGAACCTTGACTATTCATTTAGTACACCCATATTCATCTCAATCTTGTGCTAACCTGTCTTGAAGCATGCTCTTCGGGCATCGACAACGAAGAACCCCTGACATATGTAGTCTCTTGGAGAATTTTTGCAAGCATGCAGCAAAGAAACTAGATGTTGCTGCGCACAGATTGTTTCATTTTGTGGTAGAATTTAAGTGATTCCCACGATTCCCAAAGCATCTGTTGACACACACTCTGCAGATACTGCTTTCAGTCCGCTATAATAGGTAAATGCTACCCCAATGATAGTTTGGTAGCCTGCCTATCTAGAATGGAAAGGCACCACACTTTTTACAGTAATGCACACTACCTTGACCCTTCTTCTTCTTCTTCTTCTTCTTCTTCTTCTTCTTCTTCTTCTTCTTCTTCTTCTTCTTCTTCTTCTTCTTCTTCTTCTTCTGCTTATAGTCCCTTTCCTTGCTGGGAGAGGGAGGAAATTTACTAAGGTAGCTTTCTTTTTTTGTCTTGGCTGGGGGGGTTTTCCCCCTTCGACCAATAGCGTGCTAGGTCGTTTCCTAATGTAGACAAAAGAAAAGATACATCTTGTGGATTAAGCAAAATGGTAGCGTGGCCTGGTATCACCAATGAATGTACTCCGTACTCCGTACTCTTTTCTTTTTCTCTTTGTAGTTGGTTGTTTTGGTAGAAAAAGTGGCAGATAGACGAGCACAAGTCAAGATGTTTATATGAATCGCCTCATCTAACGGACACTCATCTCTTCTGTCAAGAAACAGTTCTAACTTTTCCTTCTTTATTATTGAGTAAACATTTAGTCTAGTTAATTCATCCAACTACACCTTTCTTTTTTTTTAAATATAATCGTTATCCAGAAAAATAATCCGACAAATCACAGGCCATGTGTGCCATGAACAAATCTATCCTAAGACAACAGATAAAAGCCAAGATAACAGCTATAGCAGTTGGTTCTCCGGGAATCGAGATCGTGAGGCAAGAGAGGGAGACTCATATAACATTTGCGTGCTAGTATAGCCCCGGATACTCAGCTCAGAAGCTGAGTAAAAGGGTTAAGAGCGGCGCTCGCCATCCTCGTAGAGCAAAGAACCAAGCCGAAGCAAAAAAAAAAAAAAAAAAGAATGCCCAACGAGTTGGTATCATATACAAGAAGATTAAAGATGATATAGGCCAAAAATTGGACTGGCAAAAGACGCTTTGAGAACGAGGCATAAGATGAGTGCATAGAAATGACAAGATGATGGGGGCAAACGGCGTCATGGGACCAAGGTTGGTCATGATGGATTATGATTGTGGGCTTGGAGGACCTTTGGGCACTGCTTGGCTCTTTTTCAATCGGCTCAACTCCTCTTCCAGTTTTCGGTACTTGGCGCGTTCCTCCTGTTTAGTTCGTTAGTAAATTGTATCTTATGACGACGAGAGAAACGTATTCTCAATGAGCTCTTTGTGTACGTACCTTCATGTCGTCGTGGAACCTCTTCCGCTCCTCTCTCATTGACGTCCTAAACTGTTCACTGAGAAGAGCCGCACCAGCGCCAACCTTTGTCACGCCTCCTTGTGCCACGCCGACCTTGAATCGTTCACTATCCAGATCCTCCTGTAGCTTCGCGATTAATTGTCTGGACTTCTCTAGGTCTGCCTCTAAGCTGGCCTTTGCTGTGATTGCCTCATCGACCTTTTGCTCAAGATCAATCTTCTCGCGCTCAGATCCAATCGTCTCCTTGGTTATCGCCTCTAGATCTTGCACAGTACCTGCCAGCTCCTGCTTGAGCCTCTCGACTTGGCCTGTAAGCCTGACAACCTCGTTTTGGTTCGACAGAGCTGCCGCATCTGCCGCCCGCTCGGCGCGAGATCCATACGCGCCGTCTAGCTCTGCTCTGGCAAACGTGAGCTCGGTCTTGATTTCCACTAGTGTCATATTCAGCTGCTCCAGATCGGCATCCTTCTGTGCCATTTCATTCTCCTTGTTTGCGTGGTGTGCCTTCATATCGTCCATCTCTTGTTGCAGAGCCTTTGCCATCTCTTCGGCAGCTAGCTTCTCTTTGGAAACTCCATCAAGCTGAGAGCTAAGCTCAGCGAATTTCTTCTTTTCGGATTCTAACGTAGCAATCTGAGCCTCGAATGTCCCACTTCTCTCAGTATGCGCCTGGATCTCTGACCCCAGAGACTTGATTTGCGTATCCCGTGATTGAATTTCTGCCTCCAAAGATCCAATATTTGCGTCGTGGCCCTTGATTTTATCTTCAAGAGTTTCGATGTGAGCACTGCGTGCTTGGATTTCTGACTCCAGTGACTCAAGTCTGACACCAGTTGCGAGGGCTTCAGCTTCGAGAAACTCTGCCCGAGTGCTGTGTGTATGAATCTCAGCCTCAAGGGATGCGATACGATCGCTACGTTCCTGGATTTCAGCCTCCAGAGTTTCAATTCGAGCCTGGTGTGCCTGAATTTCATTTCTTAGGGCATCTGACGATCCATTTCCTGTCTCAAGTTCAGCAGTCAGAGCCTCTAATCTTGCGTCTCGTGCCTGAATCTCGGATTCGAAAGATTCAATCTTTGCGCTTCGTGTGGCCATCTCAGCTTCTAGAGATTCTATCTTCAAAGTGTGTGTACGAAGCTCTTCTTCAGAGATACCAGAAGATGATGACTGCGCCTTTTCGAGGTCTTGCAAGGCATCTGCCAGCATGTTTTGAGCGTCAGCGGCATCCTTTTCGGCTCTCTCGAGTAGGAAGCGAGTCTGATCCAGCTCGTCTTGTCTTCGTTCAAGCTCCTCGTCCTTTTCAGCGTCGGTTTTGTTGTTGAGTTCACGCTGCTGTTTGATCTGTCTCTTCAACACCGACTTCTGGTCCTTTAGCGTCGAAGCCTGAGAGTAAAGCCATTCGACCTTGGAAGAGAAGGCGATTAGGTTGTAAGTCTCATCTGCATCAAATGCATCGTCATCGGACGTGTCATCGTCATCCACCATCAATCCTTTGTCGGCGCGATGTTTCCGACGTTCTTCGTTCCGTTGCTTCTTTTCAGCGAAGCCCGACTGCATCTTATCCCAGAGTCCGACCAAGACAGACTCGATACGTTCAGCGGCGCCATCGTCCAGCTGATACATGCCGCCATTATTGCTACCACTGCTAACAAAAGACTCTTGCTCTGCTTGTACGGCAACCAGTCCGCTTTCCAGATAGTCGATTTGCTTTCTGAGCATGTCACCGGCTTTCAACTCACCAGTGATTGATTCCCGGGGAGGCTCCAGGTAGTCACCGTTCACTTCAGGGTTGAATTTGATAATGGTCTCCCGAAGCGAAAGACTTAGGCTTTCCAGCTTTTGCTCCATGTCGGCCACAAGATTGACTAGCAATGAGTTTTCCTCTCGAGCCTTATCAAGCTCTCCTCGAATCTGGGAAGCTTGTCCTCGAACAGGAGACTTAAGGGGTATATCAATTGCCGATGGCTGCAGTCCCTCGAGGGAATCAAGCTGGTAGAGATTTGGATCTTCGAAATAATTCTCTTCCATGGCACGCGCTATGCTATCTCGGCCTTGAGAGTAGGTATATAAGCTTTCCGGGCTACCAGGAATGCCGTTATCGTTTTGCAAGGCCCGTGCCGCGGCTCTCTTGGACGCCTTGTGAGTAAGTTGAAGGATACCAGCAGTGTGTTGAAGCAGACGCCTCTGAGGCCCCAAGAGGCTCTTCTCGAGATTAAAAAGTTCGCGCGACAATTCCTCGCATGTCTTCTCAGTTGCCTCTCTCTCCAGCTCCACCTCTTTGGCCCTAGGATCGTTCAGAAGCTCTTCTTCAGATTTTCCGGCGGCGTAAAGCTTGGCCATCGATACCGCTGCGTCTCGATATTTCGATTGGATGGCCAGATTGGCTCTTGTGGGTTCTATCCGTTGCTCTAATAACTGGCACTGTTTCTTCAGCCTATCAACCTCCTCTTGAGATAGGATTTCATATTGTTTGCTGTCGTAAAGCGCAGTTTCGGTAAGCAAATGTACTTGGATCGGATCTTTTAGATCGGCGAGCGATCCATTCGGCACATTGCTGGGATCCATCTGGAACACGTCAATACAAATTTCAAGCTTGCCTGATGTGGCCGGCGCATGACCTACTGGTTCTTCCGGCGTGGCAGTGTTGCCATATCCATTGGGCCCGTCCTTCTCAAATGCCGCTGCCATAGAGTGATCGCCGTGGCTTGAAATTGGTGTAGATATGTTGGAAACCTCGTCCTCGTAAGAGCTTCGCTCCGTCTGATATCCGTTCATGGTGGGTGTCCGTTTTCGTTACGCGTTTGTTCGTATTAGCACATTAGATGGTAGGATTCAAAGCTCGATATTTGCTGTTACTGCGTCGTGCAGCTCGATACAGGTTCAGAGGGCGAATAGCAAGGCGTTATCGAAGCCGTAGTCAATATCGTGAGAAGCGAGCGTCGAGTTCTTCGTAGTCAAGCAAGGATACGCAGCTGGCGCAAAGACGCACTTTGAGCGACGAGGTCCAAAACCGAATCTAAAGCCAAGCCCAAAAAGCAAACGAAACTGAGACCAAAAAAGAAGCCAAGACACACTTGCGCAGCGGCAGCGTCCTAAACGACGGGACAGCCGTGATTAGCCTAAGCCAAACGACAGTTGGAGGTTGGAGGTTGGTGGTTTCGTAGATCGAGAGGGGGGCAAAAAGAAAAGGAAAGGAGCTGGTGGCTGCTCTGCTCTGCTCTGACAGGGCCCAATCGCAGATTACGGCGGACGAGGGATGCCAGATGCCAGGCACAGGCGCAAGGTGCCTTATTTGGAGGGCCCCGGCACCGCTAAAGGTCCAGCGTCGGGCGGGTGCCACAGCGCTTCTGCTGCCCTGGAATGGGGGATTTTGAGGGGAGCTGCAGGCACTGAATTTAGCCCCTCAGCCTATGCACGGCGTATGCAAGGGAAAAAGCCCTCCTCGCATCCACCATTGGCCGTGTCGCCAGCCCGGGGAGCTTGTACTGGGGGCCGAGATGATGTTAGAGGCGCTTTTACCCCTGAAAGCTGGACCTTCTGCCATCCCGCCGCTAGCCCGGATGGAGAAAGGCCTGTGGCTCCGGCTGCCGAGCTATCGGTTTGCGCTCGTAACATTGAGGCTTTCTCTTGTGCTGCTTTTCAGCTCTATGCAGCCAAAGATCCTCTTCATTTCCGCACGTCTGCCTTAGTTCAGAAAGAAAAAGGCTCATGTTCTGTCTGACTGATAGAAATTACGCAGCTTTAACTGGCGTCTTCTTGCGCTCACGGACTAGGCGTGTCTGGGGCCGGGTGCTCTAGGCCCATCATCATATGTCAGTCTGGAGCTGCGGGTACAATTAATTTCCCACGTTGCGAGATCCCCGAAATGGCCTATCCACTTTCATTAGATGATCCTAGGGCTCCGTTACGTACGCTGAAAGCAGTCAAAATGTTTCATGGAAAAGGAAACAATCTAGCGCGCTCATACGGAGTACGGTAATCGAAAACGCAAACTCTTCACATGTGACGTTGGACGCTAGCATCATTCGAAACAGGCCAATTGATGTCATTGCACAGACCAATCATGGCTAGCCTCTGACATTGCAATACATGTAGTTGGAGCAGTGTAAATTTTTATATTACCAGTTCATCAATAAATCGACATATGTACTACATGTTGCTATGCTGGTTTTCTATAATGCTTCTCGGAATTGGTCCATGATTTGCTGGCCCATGGTACGCCGTCGATCAGTCTGGCCTTCGTTTTGGTTTTGGACGCCGGTTGACACTCCTGTTGCTGGATTCTCCCCCTCCAATCTTCGCCGTAACCCTTCAAATTCTGCACTTCTCCTGTAGGAGCCTGAGCCAACAATCCATCCTGGTAGCCTCCAAGATGTAAAGGACGTGGGCAGGAACCCCACCCTCCAAGAATACCCCAAAACCCAGCCAGCCATAGCTCCGAGAACAGAGCCTGGCCACTGCAGTAGGGCTAGATGAAAGGCGATGTAGTACTGGTAAGATTTGTCTGATAGCGTCACACCGGAAAATCGCTCGTTTGTTGGCGGCGCTTGGGAAAATGCAATCCGGTACTTATACATCTGCGGGACGATGGAGTGAAACTGGGCCAAGACCGCAAAGATAATCGCCGTCGGGCCGGCCGGCATGTAGTTGAACAAACTCGGGGCTATGGGTCGAAGGATGGTAAGAATGAGCGGCGGGAATAGAGCCGTAAACAGCGATGAAAGGATTATGAATGACTGTAGGGTTACGTTTGTCAGTAGACTGCATCATCCTACAAGCTCCAACAGCAGACCACTTACGGCATATTTCCTCGATCCCCACATCCGTTCAACGACCCTGAGATTGTACAGCGATATAGCCGCAAACAATACTTCCGTTGAATTCAGATAGCATAGTTGGTAGGAAAGAAGTCGCCAGAATTGTCGATACCGAAAAAGGTGTGTATCTATGAGGATGTAGAAATATTGTTTCGCATCGAAGAGACTGGCGGCTATCGAGATGGAGACTAGACCCAAGACAGTCAGTCTGGTCACTGGGGCGTTGGTGAACGTCATGGTATGTTTTGTAGTCGTATTGTTGTTTGCGTGCGCCTCAGATTTTCATGCTGGAAGACGTTATGAAAGCGGTATGGGCTATATATACAAGTTCGGGGGCGGATAGCTTGCTGCGCATGTGCCGTCGTTGATGGAGAGGAGAGAGGCGGCTATAGAGGGTGGGATCACTCGAGATTTCGATTTTGGCAGATGCAGTCAGGCTGATACTGCCCAGTGATGACGCATTACCACTGTGAGAAGTTATCGTCCAAAGGCGCAGCCTCGTGGACTTGAGACTGAAGCAGATGAAGTTCGATGCGACAGCTTGAGCAGTGACGACAAGCAGCTAAAGGTGTCACTTTCGCGATCACGTGGACAGCGTAGCTTACCCAAGGGAGTAGTATTGCAAATCATGGTCCGGGAAACATACGAGATAAACCGACTGCCTCAGAAAATAATAAATTCTGCAACAATCGGTAGCATGGAATTGGATGCTAGCCTATTTTGTATCACTCCCTTCTGTCTTTCGCTGTACAGCTTTAAAGCTCATGGTGAAATGGCTCAATGGAGCTGTTCAAGCACAGTGCGACGGCTTAAGGAACATTACCTTTTACGTATTGTATTTACGGGCTGATAGGCTGCTTGCTCCTGCATGGCTCGCTTCGTGGCTCCACTTTCTAGGATTCTCGTACAGTAATTATTCCTAGATTTGTACTGTAAGTTTCGCGCCGAACTATCGCATGGTCCGAGTTCTGTTTACATGCACCCGTTGGCCGTGTCTCTTTCGCGCTCACAGCCTCCGTTGTTCTCCAGACACATATCATGTTCATTAATCAGATTACACGATCTTCGGCAAACACCGTCTAATCACATCCAATTGATACCCAAGCTAGAGAGCACCTTCGGACCATCGAGTCGTTTTACATTGCTGTTCCGACTCCAGTCGCAAGCACAGACCGCGCATATCGGGATCTATTAGAATCGCCTAAGACAGAAAAAGGCAGCGCTCTACTGGACCCCTCCACGCCCATCAGCGCTTCCAGACCCTTAGTGACGCAAAGAGGAAGCAAAAGAAGGAAGCACCGAAGGAAAAAGTCTTCTGTCGCATCCACCCAGTCCCAGTGGAGTGAGTGTATTAGGAATCAACCGCTGACGGCCTTAACCGCTCCACGCCAGCCAGTTTTACCGCCACTGCTCCCGCCGCTATTCCCGCCCCAGCTCCATCCTCTCGGCTGCATGCCATTCGCCCGCGATGCCTCTGGCCAATCTGGGGTCGCTGTTCCTGGACAATGTCGTGTTCCTGATTCACCTCATTTATGTGCACCTCGCCCTCGCCCAAGCTGAGCCCAGCCAGATCCTGATGATCCATCTGCTGTCCACGCTGGGCAACCGCCGTCACGACAATCTCGACCCCCCGCCATGGCCGCCTCTCAGCGTCGTGCCATGGTAGCCGACGGCTACGAGTCGCCCACTGAAGATAACCAGCCATCCTTCTTCTATGGCTCGACTCCCACGGCATCTGGGACTAACACGCCAGCCAGGATGTCATTCTCGGCTCCAAACCTTACGCGTGCGGCCTTCCTTGCTCAGGGTTCTCGGCGTTCACATGTTGGTCTCCATCCTGCAGGTCGAGATATAAACCACGACGGAACCCCAGTTTCACATACCCCTCCAAATCTTGATACCGTCATACTAGACAAGGAGAATCAAGCTTTGCCTCGCCGAGTCGGCCTGCGGGACCGCATTGCCTGCTATCAATGGACTTTCTTCACCATGGTATGAGCGGCGAATTAACCAATCGTCTTTGGATCTGCAGCTCATTTTCATTCTTTCACAGACAATGGCTACCGGAGGAGTAGCTAGTGTACTTCATGGATGTATGTATAATGTTCATCTCCTTCATATGCAGTATCTTTCTGACCAGATACAAGTGGTTTACAGGCCGGAATGGGTAACTGGGTTTGGCATCTTCTTCTGCCTGCTCAACATTGTGTTTTTCCTTGCCAACTGTGTCTTTCTCTCTATGCGGTTTTATCTGCGGCCTGGAAGCCTTACCAAGTCCTTTACTGATCAAGTTGAATCGTTATTCATCCCTGCTTTTGTAAGTCTACCTGGCCTACGCTCACTGTGTACCGCTGTAACGTACTAGGGACTAATATATTCCTATGCTATAGTTCGTCTCGTAAGCAGCCTTGCTTCCCATAGCTGGTCAATTGGATCCTAAATTACTTACCCGTGTCTAGTATTGCAGTCATTCTTACCAACGTCTGCCAATATGGCGTTCCACATTGCGGTGTCTGGCTCATTAAAACACTGCAAGTCCTATTCTGGATATACACTGGGCTGAGCGCCATTGCCAGTGCTGGACTGTATCTCATCCTTTGGTCAACACTGTACGAGTTTGTGATTTTCCACATTTTTTGGAACATTTTGTCTTACTTATAACAACAGAATATTTCCGATCCACATGATGACTCCTACTTGGGTATTTCCCGCATATCCTCTCCTGCTCACGGCACCGTTTGCCAGCAATCTCATCTCAGCAGCTTCTGACGCAGGTCATATTGACGTGCTATATGCTCCCGCTATTGCTTTCTCGGCAGTTTCCACCCAAGGCACGGGCTGCTTAATTTCTCTCATGATATCTGCCGCCTTCATCTATCGATTGATGACCCAGAAACTGCCTCGGGACTTTCAGCGACCTGGTGTCGTAAGTTTCAGTTTTACGAGCAATCTTCTTTATCAAGCTTGGATACTGATTTTCTAAAGTTCATTTCTATTGGACCTTATGCTTTCACCGCGGGATCAATTGGTTGGTTAAAGACACCTTATCAGATCAAACGTTCAGACCAAACTAACTCTCTTTGAAGCACAGCTTGGTAGTGAAGCCAATGTTATCCTTCCATCGAATTTCCTTGGCACAGAACATAGCGTCGAAATTGTGAAAATCATGGCTCTGCTCGTTGCCCTTTGGTTCTGGGGCCTTTCCATGTGGTTTTTCCTGGTATCTGTCGGATCACTTTGGAAGTACCTGCGGGCGCGGAAGGGTATGCCATTCCAAATGACCTGGTGGTCATTTGTATTTCCAAACACGGCTCTTGTAAGCTTCACTGACTTCCTTGTCGTTCTCCGTGTGCTCATCTCACACACTTTCTCTGACTCACACTTTTGATGAATTCATTCTAGGTTACCGCCACTGAAATTATGGGGAATATCTTTGAGAACAGAGGACTGCAGCTTTTTGGATGTGCCATGACAATTGCTCTCATCATCGTATGGATCATCATCTTCTTGACGATGATGATATGTCTCAAGCAAAAGAAATTGCTCTGGCCGAAGTCGAACTCCTAATCTTGCTTTTTGCTTATTTTACCTTCACATGATAGACAGCGATAGATACCCTTTGTACCCAGCCTTGTTAATGTTAATTGAGTCGTAAAACCTACCGTTTATCCACGCCCATCACAGTACCTATCCGGATATGCGCCAAAAAAAGAAATAGACAAGCAAAGGAGGAGAAATCATATTTTTATCAATTAAAAATGAACCAAAAAATGAATTGCTGCAATAGCAATTTAAGGGGTCTGGCCGGGGATTGAACCCGGGACCTCTCGCAAGCAAGCTGTAGGGTTTACCCTAAGCGAGAATCATACCACTAGACCACCAGACCGTATTGGATGTTGGGTTTCCTGGCTTGTAAAAGAATCTATAAATTCATTGCTTACACCGCAGCAAAAGATTGCCATTCCCCTCGAGATACGCGAAAGTCAAGCATCAAAAACCCTTTTCCAACAATAAGTAGGCAAATGTTTCAATTAAAACACAAGCCATGCATAGTCTGCTGTGAATCAAAAACTCGCCATATGATATCCCGCGTTTCTTCATATCGCCACATCAAGAATAAAACAATTAGACTGTAAATATATAAAAAGACCAAAACAAAGCCCAACGCACTCCCCAACACCGCACTTGGGACCGCCAGCGTGATAAAGATAAAATGTTGCAAAATCGTCAAGTTTCCTAATTCCTCCCTGCCCTTCTTCCCGTGTCACCTTCCGCTAGAACCGTACGCCATGCATTTCACAACGCTCCCCCTACTAATGTTGCCGCAGCAAGCTGTTTGCGCAAAGGAAGAGTAGCATATAGAGATCTGCTCGCTTGCTGCTTCTTTGCCGGATGTAATATCTATCGCTGCTGTAATTAAGCATCGAAAATAAAAATCAACCTAGTTCATCGGAATCGTTACAAAAAATAGTTTGTACAGCTAATAATGGCGTCGTCACCACAAAGCATAATCTAAAGCCTGGCTCTTGGGTCTTGGTCTGTCGTAGCATCTAAGTTGATTGTGACGTCGCCCGTCTTCTCGCTTGACTTATCAGCGTGGCCAAAGAAGATGACCTGGACAGTCAAGTCATCCCTACAACAAGTTAGCATAAGAGTCAGTTGAAGGTACTAACGGAATAGGTTACTCACCGATAACGTCTGGAAAAGGGTGACGGCAGAGTTAGAAGAGCGCAAACTTGCTCATCGTTGGTCCCGCCGAGCGCATTGCGAACAAGATGAGTTGCGGCATTCTTGTCTCTGACGACAAACCGGTCCCTTGCATCTGGGTCTATTCCCCACTGCTGAAGGCGGATCGGCGTCTTCCCATCAAAGCCTGAGGCACTTCTGCCCTGTTCCACAGGCAGCGGTTTGTTCTGGGATCCAAAGACTTTGGACCATGCCCTGTCAAACTGCGAGCTTGATTTTCCCGACTTTTGCGTCTCAATCCATTGGCCGACAAGGCCTACGACCTCTTCATTTGTCAACATTTCCCACAGTCCATCTGTGGCAAGGACGACGAAATCGCCGTTCTCTGGCTCGATCTTGGTCGTAGTAACAACGGGCTCCGCCGTAACGTAAGGGGGGGTCTTGAGTAGAGGTGAGGGGCTTCGGCCAAAGAAGTTCTCGCGAAGCCTTCCAGCAACATCACGACTCCACTTGTAGACTGCATCTCCGAAAGCACGAGTTGGCTCCAACCCACCCAGGACGCGGCCGTTTCTAATAACATGTTCTTCGCCAGGGTGCTGCATCCTCATGCGAGCAACTTCCGTCGGGTTATTTCCCGTCTGATCTTCTGAAAGGGGAGTAGCTGTCCATTTGCCAGTTTTTGATCGACGTCCCAGGACGGCGCGAGAGTCGCCTGTGCATGCTACACGCAGAAGTTCACTTCTGCTATCGTAGAAGGTTAGCAAAGCGCAAGAGCCGGACAAGGCAGGTTGCAAAAGCTCGGCAGCCATAGCTTTAGAGCTAGCCTTGAAGACCTTTTCGACACTCTTATGCACAATCTCGTTGTCCAGGCGGGTGAAACCGGCCTTGATGGCTGACTCAATGGCTTCGGGGGGTGGCGCATTATTGGTGGCGGCTTTGTAAGTGCTGTTCAACTCTCGAGCAACGTAGCTAATGAGGCTTTCACGCAAAGTTGCAGACGTCGTCCAGCCCCTAAAAATGATATCATATTAGCCAAAAGAGTAAGACAACAACAAGGCACAGATGCAACTTACGAGTGGCCGTCAAAAACTCCCCAAAACATCCAATCGCTGCTGCTCACTTGCTCTTCCTCAGTAGCTGCTCGATTCGGCACTTCAACAATTTTCTCAGCGTGATCGTCCTCAATTGGATCATTGCTCCCCAGCTGGACCAGGTCGTAGCGCGTAACGCCCTGGCCGCGATTGACCCAAAAGGACTCCTCCTGCCTGCGCAGCTTTGCCGTAGCCTGCTCCGGCGTCAACATCTCCACTATCCTACGGCCGTCCTCGGTGGCAGTCTTGTAGAGGGGTCCCTCGCCCACGATGGTTCCCTGTGTCAGCTCGTCGGCTCCGACAACCAAGACGGTGCGCGTCGGCACAGCATCGGCCGCTCCCTGCGTGGACGTGAAGGCTCGCGTAACAGCCTGGCTCCCGGACAGAATGTCGGCGCCGTTGTAGTACCAGGCGCCGTATCCCAGGATCAGACCGGAGGCCAGCGCAGCGGGCAGACGACGGACGTACATGGACGACTTCAGAGGCTCATTGGCGGAGCTGTGGTGTTGCTGGCGGGCGTTGCTGGTGAAGAAGTGGAGGTGGCTGCGGCGGGCGGACCGCACTGGGTTTCGGACGCTGGAGTGGTGACTTGTCCGGAACGCCCTGACAGCAGCACGATGCATCTGGATGACGGCGGCGCAGGACTGTGGGAGCTGACTTGTGTATTGGGGTTGCGATTCTCCGTCTTCTGCCTCGGATGGAGCTGGCAGGCCGCGGGACAATCTGGTAGTGCTAGTGTAGGAACTGGGAAGTATGGCGACTTGCGAGCTGGCACGGTGGAAGAGGCACTGAGCTAGGCTGGGATGGGGCCTAGCGCATCCGATTCGGTGCAGCCGCAGCGTGGTTGGGTCCCCCAAACGGGCGGAGAACGGTACGTACCTGCAACAAGCTTCGAGATGCCCACAGTGCGGTGTGCCGAGGTGGCGCGTGCTTCGATGAGCATGGAAACAGCAACAAGCTCATTTCGGGACAATACCCTGGACCCCTGCGAATGTTTACTTAGGGAGGCAATACGAAAACATCTGCCGGTAAAAGGGTCAGATAGAAGTGCCGTGGCAGCTGTATAGCTCAGCCAGTATAAAGCATTCTACTAGGTATTGCGATGCATGCTCATGAGAATCTAGAGAGAACAACAATGATATCCTCCAACGTGGTGGTGGTTGTAGAGTAACGTCTAGACGTATTTATATACAGTCTTACCTGTATACCTATTTGTTAAGCTCATGCCCATATACATAGCAAGTAACACTATATTCCATCGACAGCTAATATTCATCGTCCATAAGCGCGGCCAATCGATTCTCCCAACGGCAGGCCCGACAAATTCTAACCTGACAATGGCTGACACAGCCTACCCATGTACCGAAACAATATCCACAAAGTTGGCAAGTTGGCTTCAGTGTGTCGCCGAGTTTCACCCAACGATGCCGGCACGCACTGATGGTTTTCTTTCGAGCAAATCTAGCAGCAGAATCATCCGCGATGAGAGATCTGGGTGTATGGGGAGTTGAAGAAGGTATGAGAGCTGGGGCAAGGCCGTTGATATTTATGTCTCCCAATAGATCGATCTCTTGCGTTTTGTGCTGGACGTCCGGTTCATTTTCTTGAGTGTGATCTGTGTAGCTTATCAGCATATTAGGATTCATTACGCATTAAAGGGACTGCCATAGGATTCCACATTACCTGGTATATCTAAGAGGCTCTGTCTGTCCACTCGACACAGATTATGATAGTCTTCAAGAACGTCTTGACAAGGGAGGATGACTTGGCTGCTCAAATTCTGATTCGCACATCGATGACATATCTAGTGAGATTTATGAGTTGAGCAGAATGCCTGTTCCAGCACATGGGCCCGGCCCAAATGAAGGGAACAGGCAGGGAACTGCCGATCAAATAACTATATAGATATGCGTTAGGCCTTATAGGTTTAGGATTCACAGAGAAATATATCGTGGGTGACATACGTCGAGGAGATTTGCGAGCGCACGGCGGCCCTACACACCAACGACCTCGGACTAGAGATGCATTGTAAGAAAATTTGTTGGCATATAGATGTAACAATATGATAGCATGCTCACATTGTAGGCTTCTTGAATCGCGAGAACAACATCATCAACAGGGTCCATCGTGGAGTGAGAAAGAGAACTGGCTATCGGAGGGCCAAAATTGAAACATAACATGGAATAAGGAAGACATGAGAGAACCCCCAAAAATGACGAAAGAAAGGGAGAGTCAGGAAAGTCAAGAAGAAGGTTAAAGGAAGGTGGGACTTTGGGATCACGGCTTGATGCCTTAGGTTGAGGGAGTTCGCATTGAGTCCTCCTGCCCTGGCTTAAATTTTTTTTTGGCACAATGTTGATCTCTAGCACATTTATAGCAATGCGTAGCAGTACAAGCAGAGCGTTTCTACAAAGTAGTGTAGAATCTTGGGATGTATATATAATCTTTGTAGAAATATAGTATCCAAAATGTGATATTATTCAGAATTTGGATATATATTGACCTCTATAGTCTATATAGTATCTGTTGTACAGCCCAAGCAGTAATAATTTAGAGGTAAAAGGCGTTTAATTTAGTAGCAGGTCGAATGAATAGATTTTGACTTGAATCGTGAAAAATATGTGCATGGCAATTCGTGACGGGGCATGGAAAATCGCGGATGATAGCCCGCATTAATGTAATATGATGGCTCTCCCTGGACGCTTTCTTTTGACCAAGGCTTATGTACAGTCGGCTGTGAGTCCCTCTTCTGTTCACCTGGACGGGAGAATCTTTTTGACATATTCCCTGACAAGCCGTAATGCCGCTCGTACAATATCTTCGAGCCGTCGGTCCTTTCTACTCCGCATCCAGACGAGTATTATGCACAACACGACGCAATCGATCAAGAGGTGCTTCATGATGACGAATATGAGCCATCTTATCCAAGAAGGGAAGCTCTTCTCCTTTTTCGATTTCCACTCCCGCCCCGTGGCAATTTGTTCGCGGAGCGCCGCAACTTCTGCGGTGAGCTTGGTGATGGCTCGTTCCATTTTCCTTGTCCATCGGCTGTTCTGAAGACTGATCTGGCGTTCTTCTTCGTCCCTGGCTACTGCGTCTTCGTCATCCTCGTCAATTTGCCTACGTGATCGTAGTTCGATATCCTGCTCGCTCATAGGACTGAGAATCTTCATTGGCCCATCGCTGCCACTCCTAGGCTGGTGGAAAACATGTGAGGGGTCGCTTGGGTTGGCTGATGAGGAATCGGAGCTGGCAACGTTGTCTTTGATTTGGTTCCAGACAAACTCTAGTTCAGCAACGAGTTCCCTCCCATCTCTGCTTAAAGGAGTTAACTTCCATGTGCATGTATAACAAGGTGGGGGGGATTCATGGCGAGTGGGCTACTGCTAGGTACTCACGATGTGTTTGCGTATTTGTGCATGGTCTCGATCAGCGCCTCGACATATCGTCTCTTGGACTCGGTCCGGGTCAGTCCTTTTTGTGAGTTCCATGCATCCCACTTATCCCGCTCTTTCTGCAGCTCGTCCGGGGCCAGCCCTGACCCAGCCGTGGGCATCTCCATAACGCCATCTACATCCCCTTCCATGGCCTGCTTGTAGAGGCCATAAAGCCGTAGCCGCTCAGACGGGGGCGGCCGAGATGCTCCAGTCTTGGGTATTTTCTTGACGGTGTTTAAGGCATGAACAAAGACTCGATCTGCAGCATTGGGCGGCGGTCAGCATGTACCATTGCGGGCACATCGTGGGGAAAAGGAATGCGACTGCGATTATACCCACCCACGGAATCCGCCATCGGGGGCGGCTATGACGGGGAGCCTTGCTGCTCCTAACGGAATTGATGCAATCTCTCGAAAGCGTCAGAAAACAAATATTGTTTTGAACTTTGCAGCAACTTCTTTTTCCTTTCTCCTTCGACCCGTGGGGGTTTTCGTGGCAAATGGGCGGCAGTCGTTGGGAGGGCTCAGGCACCGATTGCGTATTTGGATTCGTTGATCTGGAGAGGCTATTCGATGGGCGATAAGGACCGAGGGACGGAGTCGAGACAGATTGAATGCGACACCACAGACCAGCGCAGAGACAGGCGCTTTCCTTGGGGAAGATGACGCAGGTTGAGGGCCGGCAGAGGAGAGACGGGGGCGATTAGTCGGAGCAGCGGATGTCAAGATTACGATTATGTATTGTGATCATAGGAACAGTAGCTTTTTTGGCCGCTCGGTTTTGTCGTGGACCGGCTCCCAATTGAACCTCGGCGCGCACGCGCTCTAAGCCGTGGGACTTGCGACGCTACCGGCCAGGGGGCTCGGCTGCTGAGAACGAACGAGTGTGGCTCCCAGCTGAGCGTCATCGGGTGGGGGGTATGCGATACCTGCGGCGACACGTGAAAATCGCTGGTATGCTTAGTAAACGGTACCTCGAAGCTGGGGTGTTCTCGACGCTGCGGATGGTACCGTGAATGTTTTAGTCCAGTTTTACCCCAGATTCCATTACATGCGGCATTCCAGCTGTTGCGTCTGAGGAGCATCTTGCGTTCATGGCGGAAAAGCACTAGTCCAGTCACTTTAACGGTGCTAGTTTCAATATCTGCCCTAATCTTATGCGCAAAAAGACAAACAGAAAGCGAAAGTAAGCGATGATTCCATAATTATGTAACTAATAGTAACAGATATTTTCACCTAGTTGCGACACGGACGCCATACATCTGCTATACGGTAGTAGCACCTACTGGTTATACAGGCCAAGGTTGCACATATCGGAACACCAGGCTCCCCAAACGCATGATGCCACAGGTGGTTACGAGCTGGCGATGATGGCGAGATGTTTCGCCAATAGCCATTCACGGCTGTGTCTCAGCTTTTCATAGGTACCTAGTTATATCATTACAAATGCGCATGTGAACGCTGCTCGTCTATTAAGTAATGTTCCTATCCTCTACGATTAAATAGGTACACAATAATCAATCCCCTGTGCAGTGATCCCAGTTCCAGCCCTTCACATTATAGGGGAGCACTCCAATATCCATTCATCTTTGCCCAAGAACCTAACCATAAACCGCTATCCCAAAAGTCTGTCAACAAGTGCATTGTCGTCTCTGGCCTGTATATATTGTCTCTTCTTTTCCTCATATGCCTGTATCAGTCGCTTGTTCTGTAATGCCGCTTCGGCAGCTTTCTGGCCAGCTTCTTTCTTGCTCAGGGCTGTGCCGACTGCTAGTAGTCTCCCTACCTCGCCGTAGCCGGTTAAATAGGCTCCGACGGTATAAAGAGGTAGTTTCAAATGCCTGTCCCTTTTCTCGCCGGGGAGATCTTTGTAGTCAATGCTGACTCCCTTGGTCACAATTTTGACACTCAGCCGCTGTTTAGAGTTCTTTTCTGTTGCCTCCACTCCGGTTGATTGAGTTTCGCGGCGCCGCTTTGCAGCCTCTGCTTTTTCAATATCCTCCTTGATCGCTCTACCCCAGAGGGCTTTGAGCCACTCCACCACTTTAACAAGCCCCTCTTGAGGATCCGAGAGAATAACAGCCGCGACGTAGGCTTCAAACATGTCGGCTTGCGTCTTCAGCAAATCTTTGTCTTTTGATCTGCCCCTTCCGAGCCCCCCACTTGAATCAAAGTGATTTGGAAGCTTGGCTCGCTTCTCCATGTCATAATACCGGAAATATTCGGCAAGGGTGATATTTCGAATCAATCTCTCGCGTAGCTGAGACAAAGGCCCGGACCGCAGCTTTGGAAATGTCTGATGGATGAGAGAACTCGCAATCAGCTCAAGGTAAGCGTCTCCAAGCCATTCTAGACGCTCGTAGCTGAAGTCCATGCCTAGACCTGGGTGCGTAAATGCTTCTTCGGCAAGCTTTGGGTCAAGAATTGGAGGTAAAGGAGGCCATTCTTGCGATATTTCTGAGGAGATCCATGGTGTCACAGTGACAGGAGACAGAACCGGTATATTTGGTGAGTCTTGGGCAGCTCCTAAGGCGGTACTCTTTGCCAATGATTAGCCGAATGAATTTCTGTATGAAAGATACAGTACATACCGTGGATGTCTCCTTCGCTAGAGGCCTGGCCGTCTCGGTGATGGGCTCATCAATAGACCCAATAATCTGAAATGATGGAAGTAGCCGCCTGGTCAGTCGTGATAAATTTGAGTTTATTGTTCCAATTTGGAAATCTGTAGGGTTTGTGCTCTGCGAAAATTGTCGCTTTAATGATTGAAGACAGTCAACCAGCTCATCTGCCTGCTCAGCAAGTAACGCTAGCGCTTGGCTTGTGGTCTTGACACTGATAACAAATTCTGTATCATTTCGGAAATCGTCAATCTGTTGACGTTTGGCCCGATTGTCTACTGATGATGTATTATGCCGTTTAGACATTTTAAGAATGATACCACAGCCCAGGATATTACGATAGGAAATTCTTCGCGTTTGATGTAAAATATAGAGAGGGTGGGCTGATGGGGATTCTTAGAGCGAAAAGAAAATCGCCTACGTTGAAGCGCGCCGATGAGACTAGTACCGATAGGGTATAGCCAAATCATTTTCTGGTGTGCATCAAACTTCAATTCAACGTCCAAAGTTGATCGCAGCATTCGAGATCAAGCATGTAAAGATGAGTGTCCCTCGAGCGCGGTTAGTAGATTTGATGAAGGTAAATAATCCACACGCTGTCTCTCTCCATGCTTCCACTAATATTTTATAGGCGCAATGCCAAGTCTTTGCCACGACATTCAACCCTGAGGGGGTTCGCATGGGCAACAAGGTCTTGCGACAGCGATTAAAAGGCCCAGCGCTCGCTGCTTATTACCCCCGGAAGCTGGCATCGATCAAAGACGTGAAGCGAGAGTTTGGCCCGGTGCTTGCCACATGGGACGAGGCCGAGGAAGATCGGTTCGAGTACATTGAAGAGTAGGTGCACTGGAAAGAAGATTCGATAGAGCAGTTTGCTGAAACCACAATTACAGGCTCAAGCAGCGTGGAAAGAGTGCGCCGAAGAAGAAGAAGGGTCCTCCTGGTACGTCGCATGCACAACTCCTTTTTAATTGGGAATATTCACTTGGAATACCGGTCAACTAACAATCCCGCAGCTCCCACTCCTGGAAAGAAGCGATGATAGCAACATCGTTGGCTTGAGAGGGACCATTTCCACATTACCATGTCCAATTAATATGAACATGGACGTTATATGACCCATGGAGGTATGGCCTTTTTTTTTTTTTTTGAAAAAAAAAAAAAAGACGAAGGATACGACAGCTCAGAATCTTGTGTTGCTTGAAAATGTAAAACTGGCTGTATGATATAGTCATCTTATCAGTTCATATCAGTCGATCTGATTGTGCTGCGATACTCCAAAAAGATTTATTAGAAGAAATGTATGAATAGAGACATTGTACCCAATTAAGTTGTCGAATGAAGCGAAAGCTGCCTGAGTTCCAAGTATACCTCCTAATATACACCTTCTGGAGAAGAGACAGCGTATAACTAATGTTTGCGCCACACGTGCAATGGTCCTCATGCGTTTACCCACACACATGTGCGTAGTATCTTTCAGATTGTAGACCTTCTAAGATACCGTTGTGACTTCGCGGACTGGACACTGTTAATATTCAGTAAATAGTCCCATGCCGTTTCCACCCGTAACTATCGTGATGCAGCACGGAGGACTAGAAACAAAGAGTTAAAGTACTGGCCCCTGTAACGGTTGTTTGGGGCTGGTAGTGACTCACTGATGAGTGGTTCGCCGCAAAATTTCTGGCCGTTTGCACACTTGCACATATAGCATCCAATAATGAGCACGGGTCTTTTACTCTTAGCCTTTCACTGGCCAACCAACCCTGTTCCCTCTAAGCCGCCGGGGTATCTAATTCCTTTTTATAGCAGGACTTTGAATTGTTGCAAGTGTCAGCATTTCTTGTTTATTATTTCTCTCTACTTACGGACCGCCCCAAAGCTTTACTTGTCACTCTCAGCCATCACTGGCGTATAAACCAAGGCTGCTTTTTGGCCTTAGTGAGCGACAGCCAAGGCGGTGGCCTTATTTTGGCGAGGGCTGCCAGTTCCTTCCTCCATTGCCCAATGGGCCGTTCTTTCGCCTCCATATATAAGCGACCGCTAACATTTACCTCTTTAATTTTTACTTCTCTAATTTCTCCTCCACCTCAATCACGGTCGCTAATACTACACGCGTTGTCTTCTTCTTTTTCCTTCTCCAACCTTGGCACACAAGCTGTGCATGTCTGGCAGCTCTTCTCCATTCCGTTTGCATCTGCTGTCGTCTCTCCCGTCATTCGCATCTTCGTTCATCTCTCTTGAGCATTGCATGCGGATACGATGTCGACTTCCAGCTCTTCTGGTTCTACTCCTCAGCTTTCGGTCCTGTTGCCAGCCGACGCAGCCCAGAGAGATCTTTTGATGCAGGCGGGAGATGGAACCTCAGCTGTTTCAGCTTCTTGCGTAAGTTTGGTACCAAATCATGTCAAGCAAATTTTATGATATGGCCATATCCACTGTGTTCCTGTTTTACTATTTTTTTTTTCGGCTTTATCCCGATCACTCTTCATTCCCGCTAACTATGATTGTTCCAGGAAACGGCAACAGCCTCTTCTATAATGATTGAGAAAGGCATCACACCTTTATCTACCTCGAAGCTAGCGAACCAGGGCTATCCAAAAGTGAGTGTAAATATTTCCATTTACAACAATAGAACGCATAGTCTTCCTTGTGACATCTCCAGAACTAACTCTTGTCCAATGGAGAAGCTCTTTACTAGACTATCAGAGCAGCAAGTTGCCCACAGCCAACAGAACCAGGCCTTGAAAATCGATGATGATGGCCCTTTCCTGAAAGTCTTGGATCAGGCTTCCTCAAGCACTTCGCTTCCAATCACTCCGGCCACCGAGGGCTTTCCTGCTGCGGCTCTAACCACAAGACCAGCCAGCGTTACGCTTGATGATCCCCGTGCAGATGCTGAAGAGGTTTTTCGCCTAAAACTACAGCTCGCGCAAGCGCGGAACCATATCTCCAAGCTTGACCAGGAACTTGCTCAGACGCGGTTTTTCAAGGAGCCCGACGTGCCCATTGGTCGTGTTGAAGCGGCTCCGCGAGACAACATTTGGAACAGAGGAACGCCGGATGATACTCAGTCTGATACCAGTGATTCTGCCTCTGCTGTTGCAATGAATCGAGCTCGTGGAATCTGGGGACCTACCAAGAACTCGTTTGCCAACAACGGCTCTCTTCAGCCATCCGGCCCTGAGCCGTCGCCTGGTCATTGGTTCGGAGGGAGAGGATTTAATCAGACCTGCGTAGACCCCAGTCAACCTTACGTGTTGATCGACAGCCATCGTGCTGAGCGTCAGGCTGCCGACCATGACCTCGTCAATCGCCCTCACCCAAACCGTCGCGGTGCCCGCTTCGACAATCGAACGAATGTAAATCACCAATTTGGAGGCTCTTTCATTAACCTGAACAACCCAACTCACCACTTTGATCCCATTGGAAACCCAGTCCCAGTTCCGGTGCCAGGCGTTCATGTAAATGTTGGACCGGCACTACCTCCTATGGGCGTGAACGTGTATCCCCCTTTCCATCAGCAAGCAATGGGTACTCCTCTTTCTCCCCACGCCTCAGAGTTCACCTCTAAGGCTAGTTGGAAGAATGAGGTACCCAGCAATGTGATGGAGATGACTCACTACCAGCCGCATGCTGATGAAAAACAGGTTGTTGCGTCTGAAGGGCCAACCTATCTCCCGCCAACAGAGCCTCTTAACTATCGCCGCCTTCTCGATCGAAATGTGAACTGCAACTGGAAGTACATTGTGGACAAAATAGTCTGCAACAACGATCAACAAGCTTCCATATTTTTGCAGCAGAAGCTTAAAGTGGGCACACCTGAGCAGAAATACGAAATCGTCGAAGCCATTGTGGCTCAGGCATACCCCTTAATGGTCAACAGATTTGGTAATTTTCTTGTTCAGCGCTGCTTTGAACATGGAACTCCAGAACAGGTGATCAAGATTGCCGAGGCCATTCGAGGCAATACTCTGAACCTCTCCATGGACCCTTTTGGCTGCCATGTCGTCCAGAAGGCGTTCGACTCAGTCCCAGAAGACTACAAGGCGATTATGGTTCACGAACTCCTGCGCCGTATCCCCGAGACCGTGATTCACAGATATGCGTGTCACGTTTGGCAGAAGCTCTTCGAGTTACGTTGGAGCGAGTCCCCCCCTCAAATTATGAAATTCGTCAACGAGTCTCTGAGGGGAATGTGGCACGAGGTTGCCCTGGGAGAGACTGGCAGTCTCGTTGTTCAGAACATATTTGAAAATTGTTTGGAGGATGACAAGGTAAGTTAGGACTTCTCTCCAAAGGTGATTCGATGACTAACACTTGCTGAATAGCGTCCCTGTATCGAAGAAGTCCTCGCCAATATTGACATTGTGGCTCACGGCCAATTTGGCAACTGGTGCATCCAACATATATGCGAACATGGAGCCCCCCCTGACCGCAGCCGAGCTATCGACCACGTTATTCGATACGCAGCAGAATATAGCACGGACCAATTTGCCTCCAAGGTAGTGGAGAAGTGCCTCAAAATTGGGAACACTGAGTTCCTCGGCCGATACCTTGATCGAGTTTGCGAGGGGCGCCAAGATCGCACCCGTATCCCTCTAATTGACATTGCCAGTGACCAATACGGAAATTACCTTATCCAGTGGATTCTTAACAACGCTTCTCCTCAACATCGTGAGATGGTAGCTGCCCATATTCGAAAGCACATGGTTTCGCTCAGGGGATCCAAGTTTGGATCTCGAGTTGGCATGCTGTGTACCAATCATGCGGTCACAACCCGTCCAGGCCCAGGTGTTGGCCCGGGCATGGGCAGTAGCCGTATCGGACCAGGACCATCGAGATTCAGTGCCACTTACCGTTGATACGGTATTCACACCAGTGGTCCAATTGTGCGAGACGTTACCTAACAATCTGGCAAGCCTTCTCTACGACGATTCTGCATAGCATTGTTTATTCAACTTATAACGCATCTTGCCAACTCGTTACCATAACTAGTTCCACCTCTCGTTGTTCTCGCTCGGATCACACAAGATCACATAAAAATTTGTCGATTTCTTCTTATGAACATTTTCCCATGCAATCAATTTAAAGATCACTCGTCATCCTACGCTCAGCTGGCTACAGCCTGACTGGGTGCATTGGACACATTATGGTTATGCATTTTGAAATATGCTGGAGACTACATCTGCTAACCGTGGCGGCAACATTCTCTTCTCGAAATGGGCCCAGATTGCATCTCGACATGTAAACACAGTAGCATATTCACTTAAAACGGTTCGTTTTCCTTCCACTTCTACCTTTTCTGTCGCGCTTTGAGATTGAGCTAACCATGGATTGCCCGAGAAGAAATCAATGGTCGTTAGAAAATCTTAATAAAAGGGCGGTGTATCACTCTGATGAAAAATGCATTTTGTTTTGCGCGATGGAGATAGGGGAGAGATGTTTTACGAAGAAGACTTATTGTGTTAATAGCTGCGACGCTCTTTACTACAGGATTTTTTTCTTTTTTGTTTTGACTGCGACGATGCGTGTTTACACCAGTCGCCGTAATTTCGAATAATAATTAGAACGTTTAATAAAGACAAGTTTTCAGGCCCGACCGGTTGTATTCAAATTCGCGACTATCATGCCCAACACAGCTTGCGAAATCTCACGCTTAGATAACGAATGCGAGTCTAATGTATAGTTCTTCTCAGATGCAAAGAGCCGGACAGCTCCTTTATCTGATCGCCGTTAGATTTTTGCCGCGGTGTCATGAAGATCCTGTCGCAGCAGCTGTTGCTTCTCCTTCTACCTGATGCTCAACTGGGGGAAATTCCAGATCCAGAGCGTTCACGATACCATCGGCACCCGTATCAGCGGCTGTGGTGGCCTCTCTTTCCCAAGGTTTCCTGGGCACGGGGCGAGATCCCACGGGTTTAACAGTCTGACAGGTTCAGCGTGAGCAAATACCTATGCCAGGCGCAAGATAAGGGCGCGTAGGAATATAACAAACTTACGGAATCTCGTTCAATAGTGTTGGGAATCTGTCTGATGCCGGGAATCGGCTTGCCTTCCTGGATAAGCTTGATCATCTCTGCGAAAGCCAAAGGATACGATGGTTCGCCGCCCTCGCCAGAAGCCTGAGACTGGGCACTACGGTCAACGTAGAGGTCGGCTTTGGGGGCGGCTTGCTGCCATGCTGTTGCGGAAGCAGAAGATGCCGATGGTGATTCCGACGACTGCTGCTGTTCGTACTCTGAGGGGATGATGTGCGGAGGCGGGTATTCTGGGTGCTGAGAGAGCCAGGTCTGGTAGGCGGCGAAGTCGATCTGGACGCCGATGCGCTGGGCGTAGTAGAAGATGCGGGCGTGGGTGGCGATGTCACGGAGGGAGCCGTTTTGAGGGTTGGATGGGTTTGGGGCGCCGAGGATGGCGCGGAGGCCGGACTGTGGTGGGTGAGGGTTGGATGTAAGTGGGAGGCGGATGGATATTATATGAGAACCGTATGTGTGTGTGTGTATATAGGAGCTGGATATGTATGTATTTACATATTGGGAGGGACAAGGTGATTTTGGTAGTCAAGATAGAGAAAGACGATGCTTACCAGAAAGGCCGAGTCTTTGGTCCAGGGGTAGGCGTCAAAGGCTCTGAAGATGGAGTCTTGGTCTGTTAATGAGCGGATTCGATCTGCTCCTGGGAAGGGTGGCTGGGGCTCTGCCATTGTTGCTTGCTAATGAGGGGTTGATGTTTATTGTGAGTCAAATCGAGCCTCGTTTATGAGTAGTGATGCCGTGTTTAAAGGGTGCTCAAAATCTTAAGTAAGTTGAAAGAGAACATACTAGGTATAGGTAATGAGAGTCAAGGCGTTTGAAGTGGCTGGTGAATGATGGTTCTCATTCAATTGAATTCGTCCTAGTTCGCATGTGAAGTGGGTGGAAGTGGGTGAAGCGCGGGATGGGCAAACCTCGGCCCCGGTATTAGAAGGTAAGTGGATGATGTGATTGGCTGGCGTTTAAGTCGATGGCTTGGAGAGGCCGTATGAAAGGAAATGATGTGTGTTTTGTGATGACATGTATAGATGCTGGTTTTGCTTTCAAAAAAAAATTCTAACTAGTATTGAAAGGGTATGTTAGTACAGATTGACCAGAGTGGCCGGCAGAAAGCGGAAGAAATAAATATGTATAATATGCGCAGAGAGTTATTGAACTCTTCGGTGGCTATAGTTGGCTACAATGTATATTTTTATAAGAGACATAAAATAACAAGATATCTTCTAATACATCTACTATTATGCAATGAACATATCCTTCATTCTAGATGAGTCTATATATTCAAAAATTGAACGTAGGGTAGATCGGATATCATCGATCTAAGCAGCCGAGCTCATTGTTGATGGTGCGCATGACAACCAACATCAAAACGGCTGACTCAGTTAATACATGGAGAGAAATATCACAATAGAGCTACTGCATATAATTTACGACTATTAGAAGCATACTTTATCAGTCATTGGATAAGGCGAGGAGTTTTACAAGGCTCTCAATCTATCTCCTCAGCACAGCATTGCTCGAAAGTATCTAAAGTATTGAGCGGCCTGAGGAAATTAGAATATATCAGCCAGGAACATGACAAAATACACTCTCCTCTATCGAAATATACCAACCTACGCAGAAATGTTCCATTGGGTACCTAAGTAGGTATGAACTCAATAATGACATTGAACACCCATTGAACACCTATCTTAGCACTCGTTGGAAGCGCCACGCAAGTTTGACCTGCATATCAACTAACAGCCGAGCTCGCAATATCCCTTATAAAGTATATGGAGAGCCACCCATCAGTGAAATTTGCATGTGCCCTGTTTGTAATATGAGAATTTCAAGATGGCACAGTGATATGCGGTTGCACCATGTTGATGTACATGCATGTGGCCACACCCAAAAAATGAGCTGCAGGCTTCCAACTTCAGGCGAAGCGCCGCAAGGCTGCCGCTCTCATTCGCCATGCGCGCGCCTACCTACCTACATATGCACCCCATGTTTTTCTCCTTTTCTTTTTCTGCTCTTTTCTTACAGCTCGGGAAACTCATCTGCGTCCTACTATGTCACTTACTTTTGCGGCCGATATCTGAATTTTCGCGATAAAGAAGGGAAAGACAACCTCTATACAGACAGCGCTGCCTGCCCTATATGGCCGGAGACGAGGCTTCACCAAGTCGGCCCTCTTCATCTGCTTCTTCAGAACTACCGTCGTTGGACGATTTGATACGAGAACAAGTCATCGCTAGTCAGATCAAGCAACAGCAACAGCAACAGCAACAGCAGCAACCCGATAACAATGATGACTGCAGCAACCGACCCACCAGACAGAGCAGCAGCAGCGACGTCATAATAATCAGCGAAAGCGACTTTGCCAACAACAATAACATTGCCAACGGCAGCAGTAGCAGCCACAGCAATAACAACATGGATAACAGCAGTAGAAGGAGCAGCACCATGACGGGCCAAAGCACCAGTGACAGCGTCAACAACGACATCAACAGCAGCCTCAGCAGCAATAGCGGCGATAATATGGACATGGACATGGACATGGACATGAGCGTCAACACCAACCAAGATGACGATGATGGCAACACCGACAACTCCCCCATCCCGCCCCTCACCAGCATCTCCGCCGCCGTCTTCGTCCCGATCCCAGACGCCAACAAGCTCCTCCAGCCCCTCAACCTCGACCCAACCTCCCCAGCCTACCACCGCGCCGCCCTCGACCTCGTCACCCGCCACGAGTCCTCCGTCCGTAGCAACCTCAACGCGCTCTTCCACCGCGAAATGTTCCGCGTCCGCGCCGACATTTCCGCCGAGGTTGAAAAGAACAACGTCCCGCCCTTTGACTACGCCGCCGCCCGTGCTCACGTGCGCGCCCGCGACGAAGACCTCTTGCGGCGTGACTGCGACGCCATGATTGCAAATATGCGCGCCCCGGATGTGTCCAATCTCAAGTACGGCGTGACAAATATCCCCGTGCCGAACATGAATGTGGCCGTGACGTATGTGCCTGTCGGGTCACCGCGCGAATTCGCCGCGGCGGAGGTCATGAAGGTGATTGCTGCTGCGGCGGGCGACTTGGTTGGGTTTGATAGACATGTGCGCAGCAGAAGGGCAATTATCAAGAAGCAGATTCAGGATGCGGAGGCGGGGGCAGCGGGGATGGACATCGACTAGAAGACGGTGCGCCGCCGATCTAGCCTCCGTGCGCCAGGTAAAGAGGGCGAGGTGAGGACTGAGAAGAAGAAGGTGCGGTTTGACTCGCCCATTGAGCAGCCTGAGCCTGAGAAGAGTGGTGTCACAGGGAGACGATACTGAGCTGGAGAGAAATGAGAGTGGTATTGGATGGATGAGTTGAACTACATAAGCATAATGTCATACAGCTGCAGGGGGAGCGTAAGATACCCAGACATAAGACAAAAGGGGGGAGGAAGGAAAGCAAAAAGCTACCCAGTTTTGGTCAACATATTTAAACACAACATCTAACCCTAACGTCCTATATATATATGTACATATCGACATAGCGCTCCGGAACCGCAAGGGAAAATTTCTTCTAATTTTTTGTTTTGATACACCCACACCTATCTTAAGCTCCGTACGCAACCTGACCCATGGGTCTGTCCTCCTCCATTCCAGGAGCCATAAAGTTCGTCCTGGGGTCGCCAGTGATCTTGGCCGCTGAGCAACGAGCCATTGTCGGTGAGCTATAAGATAGTTAGCATTGTCAGCCAATTTGTCTTTTGTCATGCTTGATTTATATGGAAAGCAGCATACCTTCTGGAGATGACGTCTGTGAAGTAGAAGTTGTCGATAACCTTCTTCAAAGGAGAGTTGCTGGCTTTGGCACCCTTGTTCTGCTCCACCAGCTGAACCTTGCTCAGCTGCTTCAGGGAAACTGGCTCAACGACATCGTAGGCAGCCAGCGCAGGGCTGATCTCGACCATGCGGTCACGCACAGCCGCGACATCGTCGTAAGGCAGAGGAGCACCGAGGAACTCGGAGGCTGCTCGGAGAATCTTCCAGTCAGTTCGGGCGGCACCAGGCAGTGAGGTAGCGGCACGGGTCATCTGGACACGACCCTCAGTGTTGATGTAAGTACCAGCCTTCTCGGTGTAAGCGGCGCCAGGCAGAACAATGTCAGCAATCTGAGCACCGCGGTCACCGTGGTGGCCCTGGTAGACAACAAAGGCGTCCTTGGGGATGTCCGCCTCGTTGATCTCGTCGGCACCGAGGAGCCAGACAAACTTGGGCTTGGTCTGGGCAACTTCGGCGGAGGGAGTGACAAAGCCAACCTCAAAGGCACCAGCCCTTGAGGCTTCTCTCTGGAGAACATTGTAGCCATCCCACTCAGCGGTTCTGAAGTTGGCAGCGTTCTGGTCAACAAAGGTACCAACGGTCTCGTAGAAAGCCTTGGCGTCGACGTGGTCGGTGACACCAGATCCAACAATGATCATGGGCTTCTTGGCGCCCTGGAGCTTCTTGCCAAAGGGGCCAGCCAGAGCCTTCTTCAAGGCAGCGTGGTCGGCACCCAGGTGCTCAAACTCGAAAGTGGAATCCCAGGTCTCACCAACAACACCAATCTCAAGATCGGAGCGCATCCACTGCTTGCGGATACGAGCGTTTAGGACGGCGGCCTCGTGGCGAGGGTTGCTTCCGACGATGAGAATGCAGTCAGCGTCCTCAATGCCCCAGATCTTGGAGTTGAAGAGGTAGTTTGATCGCACATCAACGCCGTGAGCAATGGGCTGGCTGCCGGTGGGGGTATCGAGGGCGAGGTTCTCGGATCCGAGCTTGTTGGCCATATCCTTGGCCACGACGAGAGACTCTACTTCAGTAAGCGCACCAGCAATGATCTTGAACTCGTTGGCCTTGGGGCTAGTCTGCTGATAGGCCTTGGAAATGACGGTCAAAGCCTCCTCCCAGTCAGCAGTCTCGAACTTTCCTTCTCTTCGGATCAGGGGCACGGTAAGTCGCTGGGTCTTGAGGCCGTCGCAGGCGAATCGAGTCTTGTCGTTGATCCATTCCTCGTTGACATCGTCGTTGAGTCGGGGAATAACACGCATAACTTCCAGGCCGCGAGAGTCGACACGGATATTTGATCCCAGGCCGTCGAGAACATCGATGGACTCGGTGTGCTTCAGTTCCCAAGGACGAGCTCGGAAAGCATATGGCTTGGAGGTCAGGGCACCAACAGGGCAGAGGTCGATGATGTTTCCAGAGAGCTCAGTATCCAGGTTCTTCTCAAGGTAGGTGCCAATCTGCAGGTCGTTACCACGGCCAGTTGAACCAAGTTCGGGGGCACCAGCGATATCGTTGGCGAATCGGACACATCGGGTGCACTGAATGCATCGGTTCATCGAGGTCTTGATCAGGGGTCCAATGTTCTTGTCCTCGACAGCTCGCTTGCCTCCAATCTCGTGGAATCGTCCTCGGTCGGCACCATATCGCATGGATTGATCCTGAAGATCACATTCACCACCTTGGTCGCAGATGGGGCAATCGAGGGGGTGGTTGGCCAGCAGAAACTCCATGACACCCTCGCGGGCCTTGTGTGTAAGAGGTGAATTGGTCTTGACAACCATACCAGGCTGCACTGGCCAGGCGCATGAGGCTACAGGCTTGGGTGCCCGCTCAACCTCGACCAAGCACATACGGCAGTTACCGGCAATCATTAGTTTTCTGTATATGTTTATGGTTAGGGCTCGGAATCGCTGAAAAAGGCGCGGGGGTGGTTGGGTATTTCGTACTCGTGGTAGCAGTATCTAAACACCATTAGCACATCTTCTTGAACAGTTTTTTATCCCCTTTTAGAGATCAGGTTCCCCTCCAACACTCACCTAGGGACTGTAACTCCGGCCTTTTCGCAGGCCTGAATCAGAGCCGACCCGGCTAGCTTCCATGTCAGCATCTACGCTCCCGCAACCCGCCGCAACCCCTCCATTCCAGGACCATACCTTCGATCGAGACCTTCTTTCCATCTGCAACCGCGTTAGCACAAGCTCCAGCTCCAATTGTCCGTCCTCGACGCAGGCAAGATGCTTACCAATGGTGAGCTCCACCTCGGCAGACCGTCTGGGCGTTGTCGCGAATGCCCTCGAGGCAGCGGCGGCCCGCCTGCCGGTCCGCCAAGCCGAACGTGCCAGAGACTGTCGGAGCATCGTGTCGCCTTGACGGATTGAACGTGATGTACGTTGCGGCGAGAGAAGTTAAGGACTCAGAGTCGAGTGGGATGGGCGTTCGTTTCGAAAACGGATCTGCTGTCTTGGACGGATGGAAAGCCCATTTACAGCGCTAGTGGGTTTCCCTTACGGATCCATTTAGGAGCACGCTCATTGGCTGGGAGCTCCTAATGCCGCTGCCTGAGGCACATTTTGTCCCGCAGCTTGAGTGTGCAAGCTTTAAATTTGGCGGGCCTGGGCCAAGGATTCGAATTTTCTTTTGCTTCTTCATCATAATTGTACACGGGCACATTTTATTGTAGGTGAGCTTGGGCAATTGGGCTTCGGCCCGTTGCTTCTGTCGAGTCCTCCTCTATCTTGTGCTCCAGAAGAAGTCTACGCCGTTTATGGAAGCAGGGGAGAGAAGTTTTTTCGTCTCGATGAACGTTGCCTCTTACCGCCGGTCGTAACATTTTATCATACGTAGCTTGAAGTAGAAATGTGCTGTGGAACGGCTACTCAATCTGTACGCTGTGATCATGGAAAGCAGCTGTAACTGGGGTCATGTACAACGCAGCCAGACTATATTGGCTTGCTATCTATGAACTACAGCTGCATTGCAGTGATCGCCCCAACCTGGGAACATCGCCCACCCACCTTTGTTCTTCTTCGGCATCGCCTTTATATTCAACGCCGTCGACTACAGCTCCATCCCATGAATCTTCAAACGGATGTAGTGCCATGTGCGTGATGCGATCCAAGACCTGCCGATCGCCTTCTTTCTCAACGCGCCGTATAACTTCATCCAAGATCCAGCCTCGAGGAACGAAATTGGGGTTGACTTGCTTCATAGCTTGTCTTCTTTTAGCATCTGTCTCTTCGGATAAGACTTCGGAAGACTCTTCTCCCCAGTCTTCCAAGACACGCACGCGCCACTTCTCGAGCCATTCGGCAATCTTTTCCTTTGCAGTCTCTTCTCCAACAACTTCAGGTGGGCCTTCTTTGTGGAAGAAAATGGCAGCCTTTTGTTTGCGACCGTCTTGAGTCGTAATGTCCGCCAACTTAATGGTACTCAAACGGCGGAAAAAGTGATTGAAATCCAACTCTAAAGCTTCCATAGTATCAAGCCCTTCGCTAAAGAGCTCATCAAAATCCGTCTCTTTGAAGTGACGCAGACCGAGTCTCGCTGTCATTAATCGTTTGTATTCATTCAAGAACACAGCTTTGTACTCTTCTCCAGCTTGTGAAATTAGGGTTTCTGCTCTCTCAACCAGTTCTTTCTCTTGCTCTTGTCTGATGCCTTTGGTAATAAAAGTCTCATCGTCAACTTGAGGGCCAATGCCGGTAAGTTCTCCAAGAGTCTCGCCAAGCCTCACTAGGTTCCACCAGATAATGGTCGGCTGGTTTTTATAATTATACCGCAGCATGTGATCATCGTGGTTTGGTGTATACGCTGGGTCAAAGGTGTCCATGAATGCGAAAGGCCCGTAGTCCATCGATAGGCCGTATACCGATGTATTATCTGTGTTCTGTAAGACAAAGTTAGTAATTAGGGCTTCCTCATAGACCCTCATAACTGCGGATACATACCAAAACGCCATTCATGAATCCATATGCTTGCCAATGAGCTACAGTCACCGCGTTACGCCTAATAATCTCCCGGTATAACCGCTGGAATCTATTCTCTGCGGCGTCGCTTGGTCCCTCGACTTCGGAAGCTGGTACCCCACGCTTAGGGGATGGTGATTTGGTTGGTTCATCAGGAGACTCTAGTCGTCCTGGGAGCTTTTCCCATCCACCGAAAACATCTTCCGCGATATATGTTGCAAGCTTCCTAACGAGATCGCGATCTCCCCTTGCGCGTAGAAGATCAAACGTTCCCAGTCGCAACCACGACTGAGCGAACCGGAGTACAATTGCCCCCGGCTCCATGGCCTCTCTCAATACTTTAGAGTGAGGAAGTAGAGTAAGAGATAGGGCTCTGGTGGTGGGTATCTTGAGTGCGTTGAGTGCTTCGGAAACGACAAACTCTCGCAGGCTAGATCTCAGTACTGCTTTTCCATCTGCGAATCGAGAGTACGGCGTTAAGCCAGCGCCTTTCAGCTGTAGCTCATATCGTATGTTAGACTCCGGATTAGTTGTCTCGAAAAGAGAAATGGCCCTTCCGTCTCCAAGCTGGCCTGCCCACTGTCCAAATTGAAAGCCTCCGTAGCACTGCGCCCAAGGGTATCCGCCCTCCAGCTTTGTCTCATCCCAGCCATAGAGCTTGTTGCCAGCTACAAATTGCCGGAAATCTTCGGTTTTCTCTTCACCTGCTTTGATGCCGAGATCTTTCAATGCCGCAGAGCTCACACCTAGCAGCTCGGGATCTTTCTGTTCACTTGGCCGCACCCATGTAAAGAGAGCATCGCGGACCTGGCGAGGCCCAATTTGATCTCGGGGGGTTTTGTGTGAGGCTGCTGGAGTTGGGAAGATTGGGTCCGGAGGAAGTGAAGCTGTGAAATTCCATGATTTTGGCAGCTCATCCAGCGAGACACCTTCAAACTGTTTCCCTGACGAAGCCATGGGTCGCGCTCCCTTGTATCGAGTGAGATGCCTAGTCGATGGCCCACCGAGGATCCTCAGTGGCAGAGTCCGTGTTATCAACCGACGTGCATAGAGGTGTCCCTGCAGCATGAGAATTGGTGGTAGCTCAGGTGGCTATCGTTTGTTATGCATTGTGTAAAAGAGCGTTGTGACCCTGCCGCGGCTTGGAGCGATTAGAGTCGGATAGTGGCGAGCCGGCATTCCGTGACATCACCGAGCTGCGAACTTTGCCCCACCACGCAAAGATGGAGTAATGAATCGCGGTATCGGATATACGAGGGGAAAGCTATAGGCCGCTTCATATACTACGTTAGGTAGCAGACTAGATAGAAGATATTTAGCAATGCCCCCCGCGTAAGTAATAGCAGTATTAATAATTGTTTTCAAAATTTTAGGCTGTGGATGGTGGACCGGTGCAGCTCAACTGGGTCAATAGATCTGAGGCAATAGCACGTAAATTTGGCCTCATCCGCACTTCGCCAACCACAGATGGATGCGGTTAATATCAGAGAGAGCCAAGCTAATGATATGGCGTGACTTACATCTTCTTCGACCTCATCCTCGTCACAGATGCTGGTTGAATCACGGCATGAAGAATGGAGAGGAGCGAGGTTGCGTGCTTTCAACCGCTAGTCCAGTATTTTATAGCATTGATAGGTAGTCACAGTACCATGCTGTAAACCCACTCCAACATACAGCAAGGCGACAAGGCGAAATATAGCGCCCTGTATGCCGCAGCTTCAGTGCATGAGCCTGCATATTTGTGCATGTAGCAGCGTGCTCCCTAGCAGTGCCGAGGAAGGCGCATCACAGGCAAGCAAATAGTAGCCGACTTCCTCTACCTTCATTGCAATGCCTCTAGGTCGTAGAAACGTTCAACTCGGCAATCTCTCTTATCCCCACCATTAGAGCATAGAGATAGTACCTACACCATAAACAGCGCCCGCTTCCTCTACTACTCCAACTCCAGCCATCATCGGTGGGGTAGTTGCGACCACCATGCTCCAAAAGGCCTTGACTCGCCTTGGACCTCCACTTATAAATATCGGAAGGTCCAGCCGCAACAGCCGCAATACGTGGATGTGAGCCAGCAACGTCCACTTACAAATCTCTCCCTAACATTCCCATCGCCCAGTTCATTCTCCTCATCTTCTCGACACTCAATCTGCTCTGCCCAAAGACACTTTCACTCTTCAGCAATCACCATGTCTTTCCCACCACTTATCAAGCTAAATGATGGCAACGAGATTCCCGCAGTATGCTTCACTCCTGCTCCCTCTCATAATGGACTTCAAGTCCTACCTCGTCAACCCGATGCTGACTAGGCTGGCAGCTCGGTTATGGTCTTGGGACTGCCAACTTCAAGCGTGTTGCGGGACCTCTAGACAATCAAGTGATCGAAAACACCAAAAAAGCAATTGATGTCGGCTACCGCCACCTTGACGGCGCTGAAGGTATGTGAACGGCGGCATCTCAAGGTCCGAGGAAAATCAAGTATTTCTAACCACAAAATGTTTCCAACAGTATATGGAAATGAAGAAGAGTTTGGCGCTGCTATCAAAGCGTCAGGGATTCCTCGAGAGCAGCTCTTCATCACCACCAAGATTAGCGCTGAGGTCAAGAAGAACACTGAAGAGGCTTTCTCTCTTTCACTCAAGAAGCTCGGCCTGGATTACGTCGATCTCTATCTAATCCATGGCCCTTTCTTTGCTGACAACGACGAAGAACTGCAGCAAAAGTGGGCTGATTTGGAGGCCATCAAGGCTTCTGGTCGGGCCAAGTCCATTGGAGTCTCCAACTTCCTCCAAGAGCATCTTGAGGCCATTCTTAAGACAGCCAAAGTGGTGCCTGCAATTAACCAGATCGAGTACCATCCGTATCTCCAGCACGGCGACCTCGTTGCATTCCACAAGAAGCATAACATCGCCGTTGCTGCCTATGCCCCCTTACTACCAATCACCACAGCCAAGGGTGGTCCAGCAGTGCCCGTCTATACCAAACTGGCAGAGAAATATGGCGTCACAGACTCTGACATCGGTCTACGATGGGTCCTTGATCAAGGCCATGTGGTTATCACGACTAGCTCCAAGGAGTCGCGACTCGCTGGCTACCTCGAGAGGCTACCCAAGTTTAAGCTGACAGACGAGGAGGTGGCGGAGATCTCTAGTGAAGGAGACAAGTACCACTTCCGTTCATTTTGGAAGCACAAATTTGCCGCTGATGACAGAAGGTGAATGGAGAGAGATATACTAGAGCATTAAGCAGCTATCGCTTTGAACACGCCAATAAAGTTAGACATTGGCAGGAATAAACGCCGGTTCATTTTTGTTTTCACTGTCTTCTTTTTTCCTCGCTGTGGACAGCTAAGCCCACCAAAGTTTGACCACTGTCAGTGAGCATTTGTATCAAATTCATCGAATTTTACTCAACCGCTACGTTCGTGCTACACTTTCCTAACTAGCCTTTACACAAGCTTTTTGTTGATCTATTGGCTGAGCAATGTGACCGTACCGGCTTACAATGTTTGTCAACCTAACTTGCGCATTCTTGGAAGCTATTCGACTAGATACCAAACTGTTCATCAGCGTCAACCAACGCCCAAGTCGCCATGATCGCCAACAATTTTCAAAACGACTTTCACAGAGACTACGATTAAATTAAAAACATGTACCATATAACAAGAAAGAAATACGACAAGCTGGAAGCTCGCAAGGCGGCCGATGGAGAATTCCAAGAGTAGAAAGCTTAGGTCGACATCATTCACAACAAAACATACTTCAAGATCAATGGTGGTGAAAAGCATACAGCTACACTTTATTCGTGCCAAATGACGTTGACAAATAAAGACCCAACGCAACAGAAGAAGTTCGCAGGATGCGCGAAGCAAATCACATCGCAGGAAACTCCGAGTTTAACAAGGCGGAACTGCGATAACCACCTTCGGCCTATCCCAGCATGGTTGAGCCGACAACGAAACATCCCCCATTCTCGATTAGCGGGAACCCAGTGATTGACATGGGGCATATATTACGCTGCCTCAACAGACATGATGCTGGTACGGAGGAGGATACTAATAAGGCGAACCTTGAAAAAGCTTCCGTCAACTTACCGGCTGGAGCACACGCAGACATCACCTTGTTCTGCGTAGTCCCACCTGTTAGGGGTCGTACCCCGAGGGACTTCGACTCCGGCTGCCTGTTCTGCGTTGTATTCCACCACCTGTCAGGGATCGTACCCTGAGGGACTTCGAGGGATCGTACCCTGAGGGACTTCGACCCCGGCTACCTGTTCTGGCCCAGCCAAGAGGATGATTCGCGAGGGAATTTATCTTTGCGCGGAACACCTTATACATCATTGATACACGGGCTACGATTATTGAACAAAACAAGTAAACCTGTCGAAATAATTACAAGAGCTACTGCTTAACATGGCATTTTTTTCTCCCGGGGTGGAAGTCGAACGACAGAGGGCCATACTGAATTTTAGGATGCTGGCAAAGAAGGCACTGATAGGAAGCATTGATTCTTTAGGAATACCAATGATACCCTTTTCATATCGTCTCAACTGGCATCCAAATATGCTGGTCGGGTAGGGGAATAAAGTAGTGACTGGTATAAGAAAGTAAATCGATTAGATAAAGTCACAGGACACAGCGAGCTGTAACTAGATACAGACGTAATTAAATGATTCATACACCTTAAAGGCGGCCTTGCAATTTTACGTAGATATATCGACTAGATCGCTATTATAAATGACGCCCCTCGTATGATACGCTTATAGTACACGAACCGGGGCGCGTGGCGAAATAAACGTATTTGTCTTCTACTCTGCAATACATTCTTTCGCTAGCCTGTTATGTCTACCAAACTCTTACTTCACAGCTCATCATCAGAGTCTGTCTCGTTTCCCGTTGTGGGCGGTTTGACTGGAGCCTTCTTCTTTGTAAAAGGGAGGCTCCTTGGAGGAGGCGGCTGCTCATTAGCCTTTTTCTGAGGTGCCTTGGGCGCCGGTTTTGAACTACCATCAGCTCCTCTCTTGGAGACATTGCCGCCATCATCATCTTCATTACCATTATCATCTTCATCACTATCGCCAGACGCCGTGTCGTCTGCAGTGTCCTCCGGGGTATTCTCTGGTTCGCTATCCTCAGGCTCAGCCTTGATCTTATCCACATCCATTTCGGTATTCTCTGGCTCATTTAACGAGGACGCCGCAGCCTGGACTTTTCTCTTTCCGGGCCGAGACGGGGCGGGTGTGCGAGATGGCTGGGGATCCAATGTTTGAGAAACCCGTTGCGATGCCGACTGGCTATTTGGAAACGAGCCGGCGGCAATGACCTTTTGCTGCTCGCGGATTTTGACCTTCTTTTCGTTGAGAAGGTCTCGGAACTTCTGAAGGAGAGCTGTTTCATCGTCTTGTTTTGACGTTAGAAGCTCGTCCAGCTGCGATTTTAGCTCCTTCACGGTGGTTTCAAGCTCCTTAGCATGAGCGGCGGCTTCAGCCAGGGCCGCGTTACTCTGTATCAATGCGTCGACTGATTCGGCACACCAGTCGAAAAGAGCGATACCCTCATCTTCATCGTGTTTGAGCTCTATAGAGCCTAGTCGTTGCTACAGTGAAATCTGGTTAGAGCTGCGCCTTTTTTTTTTTTTCTTCTCCAAGGGGTAAAATTTCAGCAAGATAGGCTCATACAGTAATTCCTTGGACTCTCTTTCGGATTGTGATGGATAAAGAGGAGTAGGTCTTGACACTGGCTGTTGCTTGGATATCCGTGGCAGGCTGTAGCGCGAACAGAGATTGCAAAATTGACTGCCATTCTGACTCGGAGACGGGACAGTTTGAGACTTGTAGTGAAGCTAATCGATCTTGTTTCACTGTGCAGGCGTTAATATGTATCGCGGGTGATTTTAGCGGATGAGGAGACTGTACAGATTGCGACATATGGTGCTTCACCCTCTGTTCCAACGAGCTTTACGTCTAAGGGTTTGGAGCCCTTTTGGGTGACTTGAATGAGGACATGAGCTGATTCATCGTCATCTCGCGGGAGCTTGATGACTCGCGTTGTGGATGCCATGATACAATTATGTGAGCTGGTTCTTATGTCGAAATGTTTGCGTGAAAATGTGCAGATATAGATCGATTCGGATGAATATACGGGTTGGTAGGTTGATGAGTAGTAGTAGTAGTAGGAGAAGAGGTTGGTATCAAGGGAAAAGCGATGTTGTAGCAATATTTCAGCGTTCGCGTTGGATGAGAAACGGAAAGCAGATGTAAGGGTACGCGTGAAGTTTTTTTACTCTGTCTCCCTGCTCAGCTTTTGCTTTTATACGTCAAATCAATGCGGTATGTCTCACAAGCAAACGTTTGTGAATCTTCAGCAAGGTGGAGTGTATGGCAGCCTTGCGGCTTAGCGTCCGTGGAGCAGGCAGGCGTCCATCGCAGGCAGCTACGGCCAGGGAGCTGAAGCTGTAGCTTCCTACGCAGAGCTTGAGCTGCAGGTACCGGTACAGGCTTCCAGGTGGCTGTTGTGTTTGTGGCGCAGGCAGTCGCTGCAAAATTGCGGAGGTGGGCTGAGGTGACTTAGTAGTCTCAGCGCCAGTACATGCCTGCGAGTACCGGTTCTCCAAGGCTCCAAGGCTCTCTGTACTAGTAACACTTTCGGAAAAATTACATAATTCTGCAAATCAAATAATGCTCGCGAAGCATGCACAATGTATTTGTCCACGACGCGAGCATCGTATTCGCAAATACGATGTAGA